AGGGGAGGCAGAGTCAGTGGGGAGGCTGGGGGAGGTGGATAAGTCATAAGGTGTGGGAGTGAGTGAGGCTGGGGGAGGCGGAGTAAGTCAGTATAAGTGGAGGCAGCATAGTGTGAGTGAGTGAGGCTGGGGGAGGCGGAGTCAGTCAGTATAAGGGGAGGCAGCAGTCATTCATTGTCCAGGAACGGAACTTTAACTAAGCCACGGTAAGAGTTAATGAAGGTATTTAGTTATCATCAGCTTCTTAACAGTCGATCATGTCAGTTTTAACAAGTTGTGATGTTGTAATGATGATGTGCACGGTGTTGCATGAGCGTTATGGTGGGGGGGGGGGGGCCTGTACGGTAATTTGTGGGTTGGTTATTAGGAGGTGCGGTCTGCCCCTCTTCTTCACCTCCCTAAAACCCCTCAAATTCTCACCCTCCCACCCACCCCTCACTGTCGCCACTGAGTCAAGGACGGAACGTGTCGCTTTCATAAGGGCCACAGCCGCCCGGGACAGTAAAGTGTTGCAAGGTGTCCGATACAACGTTAAACGGAGGTGTAACTGGTGAATTATCTTGATCTAGGGATGTCTTCTTCAGCGGGTAGTGAGTTAATGCAGGTGTGTGTGTGTGTGTGTGTGTGGCAGACAAACATACATACAGAGATACTATCAGCAGCCCCGTGATGGACAGACAAGGTTGTCAGTAGGTGTTGGAGATGCCAGACACGTGTAAGGTGACTCTGGGAGGACCCTCATGATGGCCCCCCCATAACACTCCTTTGTGAGGTGTGTGCTGGAGCCTGGGTGTACACTGGACGTCATCACCTGCAGGGGGGGGGGGCGTCCAGGCTGTACCCACCTAACCCACTATGAATTAACGAGAAAATTATACATGAATGTTAAAATGATGTAATACCACTTAAATGTGCTTTAATTGTTTTTATGACTCACGAGATATTATGTCTCGGTGACACAGTTAAAGCCCTCCCCGCCCCCGGCATGACCCACTTGTAGTAAGCATAAATGTCACGTTACCAAATGTGGAATCAGATCTGCCGGGTGTTGTCAGGTTCCTCAGTGTGTGTTGTGTCAGGGAGAAGCTCTTATTACGCGGTGTGTGGCTCCCCATCCTGTCCTTACTTACCCTGCTCTGTCCTATCCTGCCTTTCCTTGCCCTGGGTATCTGATCCCTCTTATGTAACGCGTGTTGGCCAGTAACAGTAGTCCCCGTTAACCTTTCAGAGGGCAGTGGTGCCTCTGTCAGCTGGATAAAATCGTCCGGCTTCAACCAAAATGAAACGACTGTAGGGTTAACATCTTGAAACAGCTGGTCTTTATTTATTTGCTGTGTTTTGAAACCTTATCATATTTAACTTAGTTCTTAACAATTTCCCCTCCGTTTCTCCCCGGGCTGAGGGTGATGCAAGTGTTGAGACGTCTCTTATGTGGCCGCCTAGAGAATGAGTGAGTGAGTGTTGTGTGTTTCGTGATGGCGGTGTTGTGCCTCGAGTGAACAGTTTGTGTGTGTGGCGGGCGGGTGTGAGAACATCAATAGGTGTGGTGTAAGGTGGGTCCGCCCCGGTACAGGTTCATAACAGCGATAACCACTATCTGGGGACACGCTTCAGCACCCCGCCACCACCACGCCTCGCTCTCTTCTCCCGCCCACCAGCAGGTGTACACGTCCACCACTGTAGTTAAGGCTCGCTCTTAACTTAGCTCTGATCACTAGTCCAGGATCACATGGATGACTAAAGTGACTATTTGTATAAGTCGAGGAAATTAGGTAACATGTTATTAGTCTGTTATTTTCACAATGCTTTATCACCTAACTTTGATATTTGTCTCAGAAGTGTGGGGGAGTTTGGGGCTCTTGCTGCACTGACCACATTTATCACTAGCCAGCAGCCACCACGCGGGGTTTAATATCACTCCACTTCCCGGCGAGGCCTCCGGAATGTGTTACCGTAACACCCGGTGTGAGGACGTATACCTGAGTGACCCTGAACCAACCCTCCTCAGGTCATGTACACACTCAGTTGTGGTGCGGTGAACGCGTTACTTCCCTTCCTCCCTGGGGTAGTGTCACGCGCGCCAGTCACCAACGTTGACCCAAGCACGTTGTGGTACGGGACGCCAGCCAGACGGGGCCCCCTCCCGGCCTGACTCTTCGCCCGGGGTTGCGTAGTGTGGTTGGGGGGGGGGGGTTATGGGTCACTAGGCTGGGGTAAAGTAAAATTTATACCTTAAATCGCGCTAATGACCATTGTGCCTGTCCCCGCCCTACACAGACACCACGCCACACCCAGGCCACGCCCACACCCACCAGCCAGGTCACAGGTTACCGGGAGGCGAGTAATTAACGTTACACGCCTCTGGGGATCTAATGGACGTGTTTTCTGTCATATAAATGGAAAATAGTTATATATATATATCAGTAATTTTTATTGACCATGACGTGTTTTTGTGTGGACGTTCACGTGTTCCTGGCTGGTGAAGACGATGGTTAAGTGAGGATCTTTGCTTTATAAGATGGAAATTCTGAACCATGACTGACTGACTGACTGTATATATAGACAGGCTCTACCACTTGGAAATAGTAAGCAAGTAGAAGGCAGAGGCAACACACACACACACACACACACACACACACACACATGACACACTCACACAAGGAACAAACACATCGCTCAAACAAAGGCTTGTGTATGACCTGTAAACAAGAAGGTGGACAACAACAGATAAACAACAACAACAATGAGGTGTACGAGGAGCAGGGCAGAGCGTCAACAAGTAGGCTGGTGGGCGGGTGGGTGCAGGATCAAGCAGGCTGGCAGATTAATAACTCAATGTCTTCCCACCAGCACCACACGTCTCTTCCTTACCACGACACTCCACCCACGTGCTCGTATAGACACCCGTGATAACAAACAACGTGGGGAGTAAAACTAAATCTTCCATTATGTGTACAGTATCATTATCAAGTGTGTGTGTGTGTGTGTGTGTGTGTGTGTGTGTGTGTGTGTGGTTGGTTATTGATAATGATATTGAAACAGTTTATTTAGCCAGAAAAACACAGATACAGAGTGGATAATAATAACATGGTTGAGCCAGTTGAGATCCAGAGCTCTCTTGTATGCACCTGATATATACTATACCTGTACATTTATCTCAAGGAAGTATAATGTAACATAGTACACATAGCATGGTGGTAGTAAGAACATGTTACCACGGTTATCACTTCATTAATTTATTTTTTTTTACATCTGGGTTGTATTAAGGTGGAACAAGAGGGCAGAAGCTCTCAGTATCATGTCCTGTCGGCAAATATGATAATTCCAATGGTAATTTCTATCTATCTACACGACAGTTTCTGATATAATTGTTGTGTTGTGTTAAGACGTATAGAACAATGCTCTAGCGGTATGGAGCACTTCACTATAGGGACGCTACGTTTTATTATTTTATATGGGTAATAATAGACGATTTTATTCAGAAGATAGAGAGGCCTTCACATACTCCAGGTGTTAATATAGTACTGGATGTATTATGTTGATTTGCTCCAGTTCATGTGATGCACTACAGTCTCCAGCTAGTGGTGGTGATGAGGGAGTGTAGTGTAGGGTGAGGCGAGGCACATATGGTGAGGAGAGCACGTCACACAAGGCTGTACACACCCCATATTAAGGTGAAATATTCCACTCGTCAGGAAGTTAACAATAGCATGAGTGATGACCATAGATGTTTAAGGTGTGTGTGTGTGTGTGTGTGTACGTAAAACAGCCTTCAGTCGTGTGGCCGTGTTGTCGTCCACGCCAGACTCGCATCCTTCACCGATACCACTTTGAAATTCTGATGAACTGAGGAACCACCCGTACAAGGCCCCGGCGAGGAAGCAGATTTATGGCTCTACCTCAGCCACTTCTCTGTTGGGGTAATTTTTCAAGATATTCAGAAGGTCAGATTACCTGGCTACCTACAGATTACCTGGCTACCTACAGATTATTTGGTGACCTACAGATTGCTTGGTGACCTACAGATTACTTGGTGACCTACAGATTACTTGGCTACCTACAGATTACTTGGTGACCTACAGATTACTTGGTGACCTACAGATTACTTGGTGACCTACAGATTACTTGGTGACCTACAAATTACTTGGTGACCTACAGATTACTTGGCGACCTATTCATATTACCTGGTTACCTACAGATTACTATTATCCCAGATCGCTGCACTATATTTTTTAACAGTGGAGTGTTTATGGTGGTGTGAAGTGTGTTTAGTCGTCATTACCTGGCCACATCAGCGACTTTACGACCTTATATACATCAACACTGGTTTATGGACACGAGGAGAGGAGAGGGAGAAATAAGAACGATGGAGTAGACTGTTTAATAGTAGGTTACAATATCTACATAGGAACAGTATAGGAACTCAGGTGTGTTAGGTTACCTGGTTGATGTGACTTAATGATGCATTGAGTACGGTGGTAGTGGTGCTTCCTGTGCCCCCTGTACACCTCTTAACCTACGTGAGGGGGGACGTCATTGTGTATAGTATATAGCTGTGTGTGTGTGTGTGAGAGAGAGATAAGATAAGGGGTGTGGTGGGGGAGGGGGAGGATGTGTGGTGGGGTGGTAGGGGTCGGTAATAAGGTGGGGTGGGAGAGGGGGTGACTCGGTGGTGTTTGATGGTGAGGGACTTAAAGAATGCCGATGTACAGGGATTAAGAAGTGGAGGGCCTCGTGCTGTCTGTCTGTCTGTTATCTGTCATCTGTCCCTGTGATGATACGCCTTCCGCTCGGCTATAACCGCGTCTAAGATGTGTGTTGAATGTTTTGTTATGTCTTGTTATGCGTATAGTGATCTTCGTCTCCTTGTGTGTAGGTATAGAGTAATGAACTACAATATGCGTGTTAAAGTTAGTTATGGTTTATATGCACGGATATATTGTTGTTGTTAGTTATTACTTGTATAAATAACTAAATTACTAATGTTGTTGTTGTTACAGGTGAAGCTAGAGCGGGTGTTGGGACTGACGGTGCCCAGTAACGCTGCCCTCGACTGTGACCCACACACCGGCCAGGTCGCCTATCCTGCAGGGTGAGTACTGTTAACAGGTGTTGGCTACAGTATACCTCCTCCACTGCTGTAGTGTGTGTGTGTGTGTGTGTGTGTGTGTGTGTGTGTATTATTGTTGTTGTTGGTGTTATTGCTATTATTTTTATTATTGTTATTATTCCAGTCATTAATCAACTCAGGTGTATTATATTCTATTTCTTGAAACTGTAAACAAAATATGCGTTTTTTGAATGTTGTAGACAAGTTGATATATCTCATGTTTTGTCCCCCATTTGTTTGGTGTTTTACTACTATTCAGCGAGCGCCTCATCACGTTTTCTATGCCTCAACAAAGCCTTTCCTCTCCCCAGCAATGTACCTATTTTTTCCCTGTTGATGAGGTCTGGATTTTTACCTTTGAGTACTTACTTCACAGGTGTCAGGACTTAGTTTAACTTTAACTCCTCGTTCATCATTGTCTTGTGTTGTTGGTTGTAGTAGTGTGTTTTGGGACGTGGTTTTCAAGTCTGTATAAAACCAAGTGAATTATCCTCTGTACTGTATGTGTTAGAAGGCATTGTCTGGTCCTTTTAGTATAGGGAGGTTAAAGAGTCACGTTGATGTGGTGAGTGTATGGTACGGGTGAGTGTATGGTACGGGTGAGTGTATGGTACGGGCGAGTGTATGGTACGGGTGAGTGTATGGTACTGTGCAGTGCGGTACAGTAGTAGTGGTGGTGAGTATCGAGGAGCAAGGTTGACGTCGGTGTGCGGCGGCGAGATGGTAGACTAATGAACCTTAATGGCAACAGTCAGTGTTCCCTGCTGTAGCTTTTGGTCACGATGGTGTGTAGTGACAGCCACCAAGGACGTGTGTTGCCGACAGACCCATGACTATAGTTTATAGAGTCTTAAGTTGACACGACACCTCACCGTGGGCGTGGGTTGTGTGTAGGGAGAGGATTAGGGTGTGTCTCAGTTAGGCCCTTCTCTCCCTCCCTCTTTCTTCCCTCTCCCTCCCTCTTTCTTCCCTCTCCCTCCCTCCCTCACTGCCGTCCAGGTCTCCCCTCTTGTGTTCTGGTCGCCTTTCCTCGCGTCTCCCCCCCAAACACGTCTTTCCCTCCTTTGTTGTCACTCCCTTCCCTTCGATCTTACCACTGCATATTTCTTCTGCCTGCTTCACCTCCTCTCCCTCCCCGCCTCCCCCAGCCCTCATGGAGTCAAGTCAGGTGGACTAGCCCAAGGGCGGAGTGACTCATACCCTGCACGACTATACGTCACCCGGGCTGCTGCTGCTACTTCTGCTGCCTCTACCTGGGGGCTCCTAACCTGCCTGCCTGGCTACTTCCTGGTCTCTGTCTCGCACTACCCTCGTACCCCCTTCCTTCTCTCACACGTCTTCCGCATACCCCACTACCTGTATGCTGCCACCGTCACCTGCCTCCTCCTCCCTCGTCTGCCCCCTCCCCCTCAGCTGCCCCCTCCCCCTCACCTGCCTCCTTCCTCCTCCTCACCTCCCTCCCTCTCTCCTCCCTCCTCCCCACCTCCCTCCCCCACCTCCCCTCCCCCACCTACCTCCCTCCCCCTACCTCCCACTTCCTCATGTCTCGTGGCCTCATAAATGTGTTTTACCTTTTAGTTACAACTAGCACAGGTTTTAAGAAGTTGGAGCACGGCACGATACTGTATAATCTTGTTTTAGCTGCCCTTGTGTGTGTGTGTGTGTGTGTGTGTGTGTGTGTGTGTGTGTGTGTGTGTGTGTGTGTAATAACGAGTCAGTCAGGCACCAAAAGCTTGATGGATTGCCAGTATTGTATTAACATTTCCGGTACAGTAGGATAACAGTCCAGAGTAATTCCCCTAGAATATCTCTACCTCTTCATCTTCCCCTTATCCCCCATCCTTCCTCCTCCTCCTTATCCTCCTCTCTTATCCCCCACATCCTTCCCCTTATCCCCCATCCTTCCCCCATCCCTCCATCCTTCCCTTTATCCCCATCCTTCCCTCTTATTCTCCCCTCACCCTCCACCCCCCGCGGTAATAGACCTGGTTATAATGTCTTTCGTCACCCCTCCTCCCCTCCCCCAGCTCGGTAATTCACGTGTACGCGTCTAGAAGTACTCGTAGTTGCAACTGAGCACAAAACAACATTGCATAAGCAGTGTTCGGGAGTGGGGAGGAGCCCGCCTTGTGTAATGTGTGTGTGGAGCGTGTAGTTATTACCTACCTCTTGTTTTGTGGGTGGGTGGGTGGCCTGGGGGGTGGTGTTTATGGTGAAGATGATGTTTATTTTCTCTTGGGTCTTCTATGGTGATTTTGGTTGTTTGGTGGGGATGAGGTTTGGTGGTTTGCGATGGTGAATGTGTGTGGTTAGCGAGGATGATGGTGACAGTGATGGTGTCGGTGAGGAGATGTCTTCTACTCTCCCCCACCTAACACCCAATGTTAGGTTTGTTCTACTACTTACACCGTTCCTCTCTTAGTATACGAGGGAAGTATGAACACACACACACACACACACACACACACACACACGCAAGAGTTAGTATGGAGAGACATTGCTGCACGCACTCGAGGCGGTGTTCGTTTGGTTGAACAGAATTAAACTTGTGTGTGTTAGTGTGTGTGCACGTACCGCCATCAGTAGCTGCCGACACACACACACACACACGCACACACGCTAAACAACACCCCCGTCCCTCTGTGTGTGTGACGGCACCAAATACAGTCATTAACACACTGTCACGTATATAGTCGACGGTGAAGACGAACCCGTGGTAGTAAGTGATGGTACAGCCCCTCCCTACTCCGCCAAGTCTCTCTTTCTTTGGCCGTGTGACACCTGAAGGAGGCCTGTGTGCGCCAAAATGTAAGCACAGACCAAACAAAATATTGAAAACTAATCACAAAATGAAGTATATGTTGGGTGTTTACATCAGCCGGCGCCGGATTTTATGAGGTATATACCCGTCAAAAAACTCGGTATATAACGAATAAATTCTCGGTATTTCCTTACGATCTGTTATATAATTCTTTTTCTGGTGTTAATTTTGTGTGGTATTCATGTTGGCTGTATTTTGTTTACTCCTCCCCAAATGTTTTCTGTTTTAGGTAAAGTGTATAGACCATTTTTTGGGGGGGAGTTTTCTTGGAAGTCTTGATTATTCATTCCCAGCCACACCTCAGATGCCCTACTCTTAGTCTAGCCAGGTCCTCCCGTCGTGTGTGTGTGTCTCTCTGTCTGTCTGTTTCACTAGTCCTGTCAGCCGCGTCTCTTCCAGTCTCCACAGTTTGGTCCCATTTGTTGTTTTTTGTCAAGGAAACTTTACTCCTGCTGACTCAAACTACTGATTCAACACACCATTTGTCCGGCCTCAGGGAATTGTCCTCACTTAACCCAATGACGTGGGGGGTGTCCATTAATGCTTTACTGAACACATCCTGCACCGTTCATATAGTAACACAGCATTACTGAATATATGGTGGTGTTAATTGGGTGGTGATAATGGTGGTTGGATGAAGGTGATTAGGTGCCCGCCGCTGGTGACGTGAGCCAGGGGACACTGTATTGGTGCCTCTCCCTGTAAAGTATTTTCAGTGTGGGTAATAGTTAGTGCTGAACTACGCCATTAAAACACTTGACGTAGTTTCCGAGAGTTTTTTTTTAAAGGACCGAGACTGGAGTAAAAATTATCATAGTTTCATATCTTACTTTCTTGAAAATAAAGTTAGGAGTTTGTTGAAGACTTTGTTGAGGCAAAATACAGCCACTTTTTAAGCCTCGTTTGGTGGGGAGGTTGAGAAGGGGAGACTCCAACTTCCGGTCACCTGAGTGTGTGTGGAGGGGGGGGGGGTAGACCCTTCTCTTCCCTACAAATTTTCTTATTGGTCAACAATTTCATAACCTTGTAGGCTTCAGAACAAACATAAATAACTACAGAACACACACAGGCCAGCACAGTATTATAAGGGTCGGGGCAGTAGTGATCCTCAGACTATGTGTATCATCTGTCACCTGTCGTGGTGAGGGCTTCCTCTTAGGAAGCCTGGTGTGTCCAGTAAGGCTTCCTGCTTACCAGTGTTTCCTTACCGTGTACAGCCCCGGGAGGAAGCTGCACCACACAAGGAAGGTTCCTCTCCTCCAGTATGTTGCTCAGGTTCACAGACAACATCTGCCATCACCTCTTACTGAAGTCCCATAGAAAGCTTAATATACTACAGAGGACAGCTTCACCTTAGCTCCCATGATCATTGTGTAGTGAGGGGCACTGGATGGCCCCTCTCCCTACACCTATGATTACCAGGTGCTTCTCACTTAGTGGTAACTGGTGCTTATGATCATTGGTAATTCTCCTCCAGGTGATCACTGGTGTAGGTAATGATAGTTATGAAAGGGGAGCTATGCTCTCTAAAACACCGTGATTGGCGGTTGTTAAAATCATTGGTGTTTGTGTGTGGATATTGAGAGGATGTGTGTCGTGTGGATGGGTGAACGGTGATGGTGTGGTGTGGATAAAAGTGGCGGTGGTGTTGTGTGAGGACGATGGGATAGATAGATAGATAGATAGTTAGTGTGTTGGGGGAGGGGGGTGGTGAGAGGGAGGGATGGAGACAGAGGGTCTACAGTAGTGGAGGGCATCAACATCGCCTCCATGTTTTAAGGCCACACCACTTTACCACCGGTCGTAAGGCTGACACCATTCATCACCGTCCATCTCCTGCCCTCCTCCTCCTCCTCCTCCTCCTCCTCCTCCTCCTCCTCCTCCTTCCTTCCTCCTCCTCCTCCTTCCTGCTCCTCCTCCTCCTCCTGATGCTCTTCCTACTGCTGTGTTAATGACTCTGTTATCTACTATGTGAGGAGGGAGGGAGGAAGGAGAGAAGGGAGGAGAGAGAGGAGGGAGAAGAGAGAAGAAAGAGGAGGGAGAAGAAAGAGAAGGGAGAGAAAAAAGAGAAGGGAGAGAAAAAAGAGGAAGAGAAGGGAGAGAAGAAAGAGGAGGAGGGAGAAGAAAGAGGAGGAGGGAGAAGAAAGAGGAAGAGGAGAAATAGTAGTTGTGCATCATGGGAAACTACTTCAAGGACTACCGCTCCTGGGGCGTCTGTGGCGATGATGATGACGCCAGTGTCGCCTCATTACTTAATTACACTGATTTGGCTCAGGTGTAAAGGCTCTGGGGTGACGGCCAGGTATTATAGCATATATCGCCAGGTGTAACTAAGGGTGTGGTGGAGATTACTGTCACGTGGTTAGGTTAGGTTAGGTGGTGTTTATACTTTGATCACCTGAAGAATCATCACCCCAGCTTAATTGAGTACAGCGGGTGTGGTGACAGTGAGGTGTGTGCATGATGGTGTGGTGAATGGATGGGGTGTAGGGGTGTGGGAAGGGTCAGGTGTAGGGGTGGTGGTGATGGATGGCGGGTCAGCACGAGTCTTTGGTCACTCAGGGATATTCACATCTGACCAACCACAAGTTACTTTTGCTATTTTTTTTTACCAACGCCTATGCACGCCCACTCCCCCCACACATACGCCCACACCCCCATACCTACGCCCACACCCCCATACCTACGCCCACACCCCACATCTACACCAACTCTCCCACCAACACCTCCACACCAACGCCCTCACCCCCCCACAGCAGGTGTTCGTGTTTACAGTCTCTTAATAACTTCATCACCGTAGAGGTAGAGGCAGGGTGAAGGGCAGCCAGCCAGGTGATAATTCCTCTTGTCACACCTGAGAGAGGAGGAGCCATCATTGGGAGGTGCTACAGAGACATTACCTGGCTCTGGAACTGACACCTATACCTGGCTTTGGGGACTGACATGGGGGACTGACACCTATACCTGGCTTTGGGGACTGACATCTATACCTGGCTTTGGGGACTGACATCTATACCTGGCTTTGGGGACTGACACCTATACCTGGCTTTGGGGACTGACACCTATACCTGGCTTTGGGGACTGACACCTATACCTGGCTTTGGGGACTGACATCTATACCTGGCTTTGTAACTGATACCTATACCTGGATGATACCATATTAGTGTTGGGGGGTGATGGATACACACGAGAAGCTGACCCAACCCACCTCAACCCACCTCATGTTATTCACGCCACAACATTCATTCATTCCCACACGGTTCTGGCCTCGGGTTGGGTATCCACTTATTCATCCTGGAAATAAATAAAGATGCAACTGCTTCTGCGGGTGTTGGAGAGTGTATGGGGGAGGAGATGAACTCACTCCACGGCGGCCCCCTCCACCACCACCACCACTACCACCTGTGTCCGCCCACCTGTGAAGACTTATTACCAGCGGTGTTCATCCATGTGTAGCCTTGTTTTTACCACAGCTGAGGGTCTATATATGTTGTTGGTGGTGCTGCTATCTCGACACCCGCCCGCCCTTGTGTTTAATTTTCTCGATGTGGAGGAGGAGGAGGAGGGTTTTGTGTTGTCTTGATCTGTCCCTGATAAGGTGGGTGTGTGTGTGTGTGTGTGTGTGTGTGTGTTTTGTTTCTTGTAGCTGTATGTAAAAGAAAAGCTTTAATTAGATTTCGTAATGTTTCAGGTGTTCCATAATCACTGAATTGAGTTGTTTTAGGCATGTTGTCGAGTTAGTTGATTATTGTGCCGTCCTGTACTGGTGTTAACTCCTAATGTGTTACAGATGCACCGTAGTGTTGCTCAACTCTCGCAAGAACCGTCAGCTACACGTGCAGAATGCGTCGAGGAAGACCATCACTTGTGTGGCCTTCTCTCCGTGTGGCCGCTACCTGGCCACGGGCGAGTGTGGCCACCAGCCCTCCGTCAGGGTGTGGGACGTCTCCGACAGGTCCCAGGTGGCCGAGTTCCAGGGCCACAAGTATGGCATCTCCTGTGTGGTGAGTATCCTTATTGTGTGGGGGTTAGCCAGCTAGGGGCGTCTTATGGCTGGTCTACAGGTACGTGAGATACGCTGCTGGGGCCCACACACCATGCCTCTGCTTCCCCAGCTCCTAGTCCACACTCCTTCCAGATTCTCCGTGTTCATCTACCTGTCCCAGACCTCACACTTACACACATCCCAGACCTCACACTCACACCCCAGACCTCACACTCACACCCCAGACCTCACACTCACACCCCAGACCTCACACTCACACCCCAGACCTCACACTCACACCCCAGACCTCACACTCACACCCCAGACCTCACACTCTTCTCTGTACATGACAACCCTGCTATAGGTATGGACCCCGCAGCAAACATTAAGACTAGGAGTGGAGTATGACGTAAGGCAGACAGGCGAGGGGAGTTATTATGGTGGTGGTCGGTGCCAGGTCCAGCCCACGGTCCTGCCTGCCTCCTCCTCGCAGATGGGCGTCGCCTCGTTGGCCGCCCATAGCTGTGGTGCAAACGTGACGCCCAACACCACCGCGCCTTTGAGCACCACACCAGGTTTGGGTACAGGGAAGAACTACGCACTACCACACCAGAGCTTGAGGGTTCGTGCTCTGGCCGGTCATCCTGTTGGCACCACTACCAGCCCACCACTATCACCACCTACCACCAGCCCCCCCACCACAAGTTACCACACCTCGATGACACGCGGAACATCATCTGCGTTTATCGTGGAAGTCAGATGATCTCTTGCCCTGGATCTTCCTCCACTCCCGAAAATTTAAAGTTCACTCGCCAGCATTCAGTTCAACTTGCATAAATATAGAGGAGGAGGAGGATCAGAGTGAAGGAGTGGCACTATACAGGTGGTTGTGGGCGGGCAGCTTCACCTCCAGTATATTGTTGTATACTCTGGCGGGAGTGTTGTGATAATGGAGCGTCCACCATAATGCTGTTTTTATTACCCACAAATCCGTATACAATTGTAGTCTAGTACAAGATAAATTTATTTTTATTGTTGTCGTGTAGGTTAATGTAGCAGCTGACCTGGACCACACACACACACACACACACACACACACACACCTTAGTGACGCTTCACCTGGTGTGTGTCACTCCCTGACGTACCTTACAACCTGCCTTAAGTGTTCCTAGGACAGGTACACGAGCTTCATGGTAGACTGGTTCACCCACCCTCTGGCACACCTCTCGCCTAGTGTGGGTGCTCCCCTATACTGGGTGGTGGGAGATGGAGAGGTGTTGTATTGGTCTGGTACTATATAAGGTGCCTCGTGGCCCGGCCTGGCTCTCCTCACATCTCAAGGGGCCACTCACCTCTCGCACAGTGTCTACCTCTCCTCACACCTCAGTGAAGGAGGAAGGCGGTGGCAGGGCTGTAACTTACGGGACCGAGCTGATAGTAAACGACGTTGTATTGTAATTATTGTCTCCTTTATGATGTAATTTGATACAATAACCGTCTCCTTGGTGTTGTAGTCAGATACAATAAGTGTCCACGATGTAGTTGAATACACTACTTAATACATTCACCATCTTCACCACATTTTAAAGTTAATTACAGTATCATAATGTAAATAATGCCGCCATGCCTTAACCTAATGTACTGTGTACTGTATAATATTCGTACACTGTAGTGAGGGAAGAACGCTGAATTTTCCACTGGTATTATTGAAGACCGACCTTGTACTTGTATAACAAAAAAACGCGCGTGTATTTTTTTTTCCGAGATCTTTGTGGGCGGTCTACTTTCCCTGTAGGTTAGGCTAGGGACTAATGTGGACCACACCAGGACCCACCCCGCCCCGCCCCGCCCCATTCCTCCACCGCCTAGCCAACATGACGCCATCACCGGTAACTCCCTCCATCCTAGGAAAAAAAACACAACTAAATTGGCACGACATTAGATTAGCCAGCATTTCGCTCCTTTTATTAGGCGAAGTCTCTGATCATTCGCACACTGGAACCATATACGTCTATATATATTATAAAAGACCAGAATATTATGTAGAGCACCAACACCAATATTGACACGAGAGGAAATTATGGTGGAAGGGGAGGGAGGAGGTGTGGTGTGGATACAGGAGAGGGGGTAAAAGTGGAAGGTGGTAAAGGAGGGTGCAGGAGAAGGTTGGGGGGGGGGCATGGTGTGGCGTGTGAGATAGTGAGGGAGGGTACAGGAGGAAGTAGGGGGAGTTCTCATGTCCTTGTATCTGTTACATGTTGTTTATAAAGCGTCCTGGCCCCAGCTGGTGTCCTGTGGCGAGACGAGAGTGTTATATAGATGACTAGCTGATAATGCAGAAAGTGTGAAGCAGTATATATAGAGAGAGATAATAGTTGATGCAATGACCTGAAGACGAGAAATAAAGGCAGGGAAGGAGCAGGTTCTAGACATTAATGGCACCACAGGCAAAGGTATAGATTGTAGGTGTCGGTGTTGGAAGTGGTGTCCCGAGTGTGATGGAGTGTGATTGGCAGAGGAGGAGGGGTGTGGGGTGGAGGGCAAGATCACACACTCACGAGTCGAGTATAGGAGGTGGAGGATGAGTTGTTGCTTCATCTCCAGCTCGTTTTAAAGCGGAAGAACCAAACAGCAATGTTTATCTTGTGTTAGGCGTGTTCATGTGTGTGGCAGTTCATGGGTGGTTTGGGGTTGAGTATCTGTCATTATAATAGAAGGGAGTTATTTTATATAATTAGTGAATGGGTCTTTTAATCTAATAAAGAGAATAGCTATTTTTTTTAATGAGAGGTGGATGGAAGGGCAAAGATGAACAGGAAACTCAAGTCATAAGTTAGAGAAATTTGTGTGTGTAGTCAGGGAGGCTGTGTTGTTCTGGAGAGGAGGAAAACACACACACACACACACACACACACACACACACACACACACACACACACACACAGGATACCACAATACAGAGGGGCAAGGGTAGAGAACATATGAAAGTGGGGGGGGGTATGGGGTGGGAAAATTTGTGTGTGTGTGTGTGTGTGTGTGTGTGTGTGTGTGTAGGACAGCAGGAGTCAGGAATGTGACAGGGAGGGGCGGGCCTTGCGACAGGTTCCCCCACGCCTGGCCGGTGTAAACAAGTGTGCAGGCGGAGATTTCAATGCTACAGAGGGACTTATCTCACACCCGCGTCTCTCTGGGGGGTAGGAGCCGAGGGATGACTTATAAAACCCAGTGGGACAGAATTCAACAGGATCCAGATAGCAGAGACAACCATACTTGGACGCCGCCTCCCTCCGTCACACATCAGACTACAACATCAAATTCAGCCTTGATAAAACAGAGGGCTTGACAGATGGTGAAGTCTGGTTGTGAATGATTTGGGCGCAGGTGATGGGTTTTGTGTTGTCGTCGCCTTGAGAGGATCTTGAAGAGGTCCTCAAGGGCGTGCTATAATGAGAGAGTCCGTCACCTAGTTGGCGGTGAACAACACTTGAGGTGCTTGACGTCACGGCTTCATTATGGCTTGGGAGTGTTTATTAAGTGGAAGGTTTATTACACTGAAAATATATATTAAATATTTTTGTGGTCTTTTTCAGTAAAATACACATTGAAACTCAGAATAAATAACATACATTTGAACTGCTATATTTTGATGATCCCAGTAAAATACTTGTCTTAGATTTTTGTTGGCATTATATAATATTTTTAAACCTTGTAAGGAGAATAAAACAGACGTTTGAGAATCTGGTTTAAGGTGGAGGAGTAGCCAGAATATCGGGCTGGACGGGTTACGACGTAATAGAAGGACACACACACACACACACACACACACACACCCCCACACACACACTGGGTAAACTAAACATAATTCTCTCACGTTCTCGTCAACCTCAATCGGCCGGGTCCTTACAGGCAGTATTGTAATCACCAGGTTTATTGCGTTCAATCACTTACTGTACAGGTATTAGGGCTCGTTGTGTCGTGTTTGTTCTTGCCTCTACGCATCTAACTGGAAGTAGGCGCTAAGATAGTATACATATCATCCATTCATCCAGCAGGTGAAAATATATAGGAGTGTGATGAAAATTATAAGTGGGTGGAGTAGGAGTTGTAGAGGTTTGTGTTCAGTAACGATGAGTAAACATGTCCAGTTTGTTAACATTTGCCAGCCCAGCTCACTCGATTATGGTGTTCAGTAATACCTAATTAATGTTGTCTGTTATGCATTGTCTTTATACAATTATCACAGTTTGAGAGAAAAAAATATATTGTTTCCCTTGAGTAACCAGTCAAGCAAAAAGTTAACTGAAAAATATCAAATGTCAATTGAAAATGTTACTAAAAGCAGTATTTTCTTCTCGGAGTTGAACTTATGAACATAGCTTTGCACGTACACACCTCTGATATATTTGTACTTTATACGTATACATGAATGATAAATGCTTACTATTGTGACAGTGAAGAATGGTGTGCGTGGTTAACAGCTGTTTTGTGGTGGTGTGGGTAAGCTGTATGGTTTACATCCGGTGTCCCCTGGGTAAGGATAATTAGCCAGGCTATATTCCGATGTTTGGGATGCGTTATATTATTACATTTACTTTCACCTCGCCTTTGTTTTCATTCGTTAACAATAACAGCTGTTTTGTTTAGGAAATTTTAGCAATTATTGTCAGTAACATTGAGGACTTGGGGCGTGTCTTATGAAGTGGGACGAGGCGGAGTATACGGGACCCACATAACACGCTTAATGCTTGTTCCCACTTGCCCATGGTCGGGCCCAGCGGTCGTAAGGTGTTATTAGTTTACAGGCTTGGGTGTTCTTTTATCATATATCTTTATAACAATGGTCGCTGCTGGGGCTGTGCTAGGGATGATCACATTAACGATGGTATTAGTGGAGGAGACGTCTAACACCAGTGTTTTTTTTTTCAATTTTTTCCCACAAATGTTCTTTGGATGTTAGTAAGTAATCGAAACGATAAGACAATCCTTTTCCCTTAATTTCAAGTTTTTTTTTTCATGTTTTTTCTATCTAAGATGATAAATACCTAGTGGAGGGCAGGACTTAAAAGTAGTAACGACGGACGGAAGCTGTCAGCGGGATTTTATTTCTATAAATATTAGCTTAGATTGTCTTTTGTTTTCAGTTTTAAAGGGCGCACTTTCTTGGCGTTCACGTTTGTTTGAAGGTTACGCAAACCCCTTTTTTTTCCTCCACGCAATTGATTCTTGAACCTATTGAATAGTAACAGAATTGAATTGTAACAGTTTATTTAGCCAGAAAAATACAGATACAGAGTGGATAATACTAACAATATTAACATGGCTGAGCCAGTTGAGAACCTGAGCTCTCTTTGAGGATGAGAATCGTATAGTTAGATTTGAATTCTATATTTGGGATTCGGATACAGTTCCAATTTCTTTTGAGTAGAATTGGATTCTAAGTGAACTGTGTGTTGGTATACTTATTGTTCTTCATCGAGGAAGACTGAAGAAGATTAGAAGATAGCCATCTTGGTTATTAAACGGCGTTGTGTGCGGAGCTTTAGTATCGTATCGCAACTTATCTGTGCTTGTGGAGGACATAGACATCTTCAAAGAGTGCGTCGGTCAAGACTGATTAGTTGGCAGGACGAGCAAGTGTTTTAAATGCAGCAGAGAACTGACAATGAAAAAGATATGTGCTTAAAGCCCAACACCCAAGTAAAATTGGTATTTGTTTTTAAAGTAAGTTCTTTCTGCATAATATGGCGGCGGTTAAATAGGTTTGTTTGGGTTAGGTTAGGTTCTGTGCATTGTTATATAATTTTTATTACTGTACTGTATTATCACACAAACAACATCTATGGTGGAAAAATTGAACGAAATTGAATAACTGCTGCTGGTGTTAGACCTCCACCATTACCAAATACGGTACAGATTTTAAATGTTAATTACACTGTCTCAAGTAATGATTTTGTTCCATTTAATTTTTATTCCTCTAACCAGACATCCATAACAGTGGTGGGTATTGTTACTGTAATATTATTTTTCTTTTCAGGCATTTTCTCCTACCCAGAAGTATGTGGTGTCAGTTGGCTCCCAGCATGACATGATCGTCAATGTGTGGGACTGGCGAGGAGGGATCAAGGTTGCTTCCAACAAGTTTTCCAGCAAAGTAAAGGCCATAAGTTTTGCTGAGAATGGCTCTTATTTTGTCACTGTTGGTAACCGTCATGTCAAGTTCTGGTATCTGGAAGTTGCACGTGGCTCGAAGGTGAGAACTGTGACCTGCTTATCTGGAACTTGTTAAATGCTGGGTTTTTTTATGGAGTTAATAGTCCGCATTTAATCTTTAGTGTGTTTGTGTTGTGAAGTAATGAGTTAAGTTAGACATTGTTGTTTAGATGTTAACATTTCTTCCTCCTCCTCAAACAGTTCAAGGAGCCAGTACCTCTCACTGGCCGGTCTGCAATACTCGGAGAGCAGAGAAACAACTATTTCTGTGATGTTGCCTGTGGTCGAGGAGACATGGGTGATTCTACATTTGCCATTACTAAATCGGGCCTCCTCTGTGAATTTAACAACAGACGGTTGTTGGACAAATGGGTGGAGCTTCGAGTGAGTTCTGAACTTCATTATTTGTCACAGAGCAATTTAGTTTAAGGAAACTCTTAAAGAGAAAATGAGTTTTGAAGTTATTGATATAAAGTTTTATGTAATGTGGGAAGAGTAACAATACAGTATTTCATGTATCTTTTTCACTGTTGATTTATTTTCATGGTGGTATTTTCAGACATCAAGTGCCAATTGTTTGGTAGCCGGGGAAGAATACATATTTGTAGGCTGTGCCGAGAGTATTATTCGTTGCTTTAGCCCGTTCAACCTCCAGTTTATCACCACCTTGCCACGGACGCACTACCTTGGGGTGGATGTATCAAAAGGACTGACAATCAGGTAGAACCCAATGTTCAGTAACAAATGCCAACTTTTTTTTTTAATTAGTATAATGATTTGCTATTCATAGTGTGTACAATTCTTCATTTTGTACTGTGTGTGTGTCAATATTTTTGTTACAGTAGTGATTAGTTTTTTTCACAATTTAATATCTAGGTTTATGTGGAACAATTTGTTTTTAGTATTACTGTATCTAGTTAGGAATTTACAATAATGGAAGGATGGAAGTGAGAAAGGAATTGAGGACTTGTTTCATCCCTGCTCCTCGACATATGGGAATGAAAGACAGGATTGAAATGAACGGAATCAAACGGGTTTATAATGTGGGAGGTGTACAGGGTATTTGTTATTGCAGAGGCGGCAAAGAATGTGAATTGTAAGAATGGGGGAATAGGTGAAGAGATGCTATGGTTATGTGGGAAGGCTGCAGGAGGAGAGAATATTTTATTTTATGTTTAGGGTAACCTTGGGGCGGTACTCTCTTGACGTCGCATATAATAATATAAGGTGTGCAGTATAGCTTTAAAAAATGTAAGTAATACTGGTACTATATGTAATGGTTTGCTTGTAGTGTTGATGGTAAAATTATCAGTTTCTCCTTAGCTGAATACAGTACAGGAATTTTAAGTTTTCATCATAACTCTTGACTTGTTTTATTAACCTGTTTTATATATATATTATGTTATCAAGAATTAATTCCAGTGAGTTTTGTAAAGCTTGTTTGTTGCAGTGTGATATTAGACTTAGTTTAATCAGTTGTTCTTTTGTTTTGGGTTATTTAATTTACTGTAGAATAACTTATTAGTTTCATGAATTATATTTATTGATAGATTTAGACTAACATGTGAGAACTGTAACAAAAGTCTTCTTAATTGAAGAGGAATGTTGTGTAAGCTTGGGAATTAAAAAGTGAGATTGACCTAATCTTCTTACACAGTCACATGGCCACTCACCCTAATAATGCCAAGTACCCCGACACCATTGCCGTAGCTTTTGATGAAAACAACCACAAAGTGACAGCTGTGTATAATGACCACTCCATGTATGTGTGGGACGTCAAGGATATCAAGAGGGTACGTAACTACTTTTTCTGTTTTCTTCTACACTTTTGTAAAGATGCACCATAGCGTAAATGTATATAAGTTGTGCACATTGTTCAGTATTCTTCTAAAACAACATTCCTGGCCAAATTATTGTCAACAGTCAGGGCAGGCCCCTCAGGAGGCTCTATACTTTCCTAATTTCTTACACAGGGTATCATAATTTTTCTTGGACCATTAATTTGTTGCTGTTTTGTATGAAGTAAGTTTTTTACATTAATATTATGTTACCTTTAAGCTTGGTTATTTTAGCTTTACCTGTGCAGTATATGTTATTTTGGTACTTGTTTACAGTGATCGTGAAGGGACAGGTCTGTGTTTTGTATTTCTTTGGTTATTTATGATAGAGGAATAGTCAGGTATACTGGGTGTTGATCACGAGGACTGAGCCAAGGTGAACAAGGCTTACATTACATTTTTTCTGGTTGAGTGTTGATTTGATGATTATTCTTTGATCATTTGATCATCACCAGTGCTTAATCCTCCCTTCTGTGTTATGGACAATTATTTATACTAATAAAGTATATATTTGTAGACACTGCATTATACAGGGTATAACTTATATAGTACTGTATATGTAAATGCAAATGCCTATGTTCATGTTTAATCTGCCCCAATACACACTCCTTAATGGCTTTCTTTTTATTACGTGACAACTGTGTACAGTATTTAAATATTTAATGTAAATGCATTACCAGTTTACAGATAAAAGATCTATCTATTCTTGTATGGTACTGTACAGGATATTTGAAATACAGTACTGTACATCCTTAGAGCAGTTGAAAGAATAGCAACAGAGATGATTAGCTCAATTGATATTTTTGCAGGTTGGAAAGTCTCACTCGTATCTGTACCACTCCGCCTGCATCTGGGGCGTGGAGACCTACCCCTCCCAAGGTGAAGGTGTCAAGGGAGTGATGCCGCCCGGTTCTTTCATCACTTGCTCCTCTGATGACACCATACGTGTTTGGAACATTGATTCTGGCATGCCCTCTAATACTTTATATAAGAGGAACATATACAGCAGTGTGAGTACAGGAGGCACCTTTTATTTGTTGACCTGTAATATTTATGTCAAGTAACATGTATAGCTTATTAATTCAAACAGTCATGGTTTTCATAAAATATATTGAGTGTTCTTTATCTAGACTCTAGTTAATATATATATCTCAGTTTTTATAATAAAATTTTTTAAGTAGTTGCTTAGAAAGTCATGTTGTTTTAGAGTAATATACTCTTAATTATTTTTGGGTTAATTACTGAGTTTTGCATAGGTTTTAAATTATTTATTATTTTACCACATTATTGTTTGTTGAAGTTTTTCCCTTTTTAAAACAAGTGAGTTAAAATGGGTTTACCTAAATGTACTTGAATGGTCCTTTGCTTAAAACTTTCATATATTTCTCATAAACTGAATGTAGACCTTTATATACTGCTATTGGTAATAATGTTACTCAAAGTTTTTAACAAAACCATGTACCATTTGCTTGCATTGCTTTTGCAATTTGCAGGATACTGATGTGGTAATTTATCTTATGCTTTATGGCTGCAGTGTTTTATAATTTGAGTAAATAAATTGATAATGTTTACATTAAAGAAAATGGGTTAAACAAAGAGTATAATATTTTTTGTTTTAAACTGATGGATTAAGGGAAGTTAACATAACACTGCACCTTATGAAGAGCATTATTACTGATAAGTGAGTGATTGATAATGAAGCTAGACTTACCCAGTACTGTACTGAACATTAGTAGAGTAGATGAAAACATATATTGAACTGTATGATAAAAGGAGGCTACAGCAAACCCTCAGTAGAGAAAGATTTAATGTAGACCAGAATATCAAGTAAGAATGAAACACTGATAGTTACCAATTAGACCATGATTGAGGGTGAAATGTTCCACAAGCTTTTTTTTTTTTTAAGCTTTTAGGTTAACCTACTCAACTGCTTAGAGAAGCAAAGTGAAGGTTGTGCTTCTGGGATTTTGACGTCTTGTGTGGATTATGAAACTATAGGATTATCCTTATGAGCTTCTGAAGCTTTAAGTTGTCAGAAGTGTTTCACATGAACACAGAAAATTAAGAAAAGGACCCAACCAAAGATACAGTAGAAGTATGAACCCATACAGTCTCAAGCTGGCATTACTGCTATCCTGCCTATTGAACTGCCTGGTGGTCACATTGCAGAGTCACTTTCATTACCTGTGCTGTGCTGTTCTCTCCCCAACAGTTTAGGGAAGATGATACAGTAGGGGAGGGTGAGCGGGGAGAGAAAGTTGAGAAAAATGTGGAAGATATTATATGGTGTTAAAGACGTGTGTGTGGTAAGAGTAAGTGAAGCCTAAGCAAACATTCAACTGGGGAAAGGGCGTCACAGAAGGGTTGTCCCTATTGACTGTGTTCCCTGTTTAAGTACAGTATTTCCTGGGATATGTAAGTCATACTGATTACTATTGGGAAGTGTTAGGGAATATAGTCATCATACAGCTCTTATGTCTGTCTCTACATCCTCTGCTCTGTAACTACTATCCATACAGATATGAAAATTTTGTGCTTATAATTCATGTCAAACTTCTCATCATATTTGAAATTAAGGTTGATCTACTGCATAAAATATTAAAAACACAAACAAATCATTTATCAGTGGGTTGCACGGCCTTGACTAGAGGAGGAGCAGATCATTTGTATAATAGTACTAAGGCAGTTAGATACTTTTGATTGTGTTATACATGCTGTGAAGAAGAGGAAGATATTAAGGGTGCCAGGTACAAGACATTGACTCGAGTAATTGTATCAGCTCTGTGTGGATGTGATTTAGTTAGTTATCAAGTTGGAGGTTATGAGAAAGTAGGAGTACAGTACTGTAATATAAATTAATAATAACATATACATGATGTTGTTAGACAAGTAGAAGAGATAAAAGTGGAGGTATAAAAAAAATTGTGGGATAAGATAATAAGAGCTCAGTGGGTATGATAGAAATACATTAGAATGCATGATGAATTGATGTTTTTGTATAATGGTAATGCAGTTGTAGGTAGGAGTGGTAAAATATAAACCAGGCAAAAGATTGTTAATTTATTGCAGTTGTCTCTTATGCCCCATTTTGTTGTTCGTTAACTGATTTACGTTAATTGCTTCATTAGTTTTTATTTTCCCTACAGTACATGTATTTGTTCCAACTTAAGTAGAATGCTTTTTTGCCTTTTGTGAAATTTGCTGTGGCTGTGTTTAATGACAGTTTAGTGAAAAAAAAAATATAAATAGTTTAATCTAGGAAACTAGTGAAATGCTGGGACCGTGAGACTTTTGGACCGGCAGTGTAGACCCATAAAAATTCATTAAAATTTAACATTTCAAGTCTGTATTTTTATACAATATCTCTTGTCTCTGCTTAGATGCTAGTTGAATTATTTCTTATTAATGAACGATGAATTTAGCAAGTTTTCTCATTTAATTTAGTCAAGACTACCAAAAAAGCTTGGAAAGTTTCTATTATCTGTTAAGGCTACTTGATACTATAGTCATTTGATTTACATAGTGAGTATCACCATTCTGTATGTGCAACCCTACTGTGACAGAACACATACATGGTGTAGACCCAAAGATTACACAGATAAACTATTCTCTTTCTCCTTCCATCTTGTGCTTGGTACACTATTATATTTTTATGGCTGTATCCCACTGGATAATGCTGTGAAGTGCTAAAATGTGCTTTATGCAATTGTGCTGTATTACAGTTTTCTTCATTTTTAACCTGTATGCTGCAGTATTGCTTTAGGCCTGTTGCCAGCCTGCTTTTGTTTTCCCATAGGAGCTCCTCAAAATCTTGTATGTGGACCCAGAACTGGGATTCATCAAAGACACAGATGTCAGCCCCCAAGGTGGGGACAGAAATGACACATCATATGATTCTCGTAACGGAGTGAGGTGCATCAGAGTTAGTCCTGACGGCAAACACCTGGCATCTGGAGACCGAGGAGGAAACATCAGGTTAGGGTGAAGATTTCCTGGTGTATTGGTGTAAGGCACAAGGAGGGATTATTTTATTTTTTGTTTATTTTTTTGTTTTATGACCATTTAATTTTTATTTATTAACTAAATTTTTGCCTTTAATCCACAGGTAATGTATTTGTATTTTAGAAACACTTTTTTTTATCGATTTTTTTTGGTGTGTAGGTACAGTAGTATAATTGCAATCCTTAAACACCTTTGGAAGCTCTGCAGTAGGAGAGAAAAAAAAAGGCTTTGTCTTTTCACTTTAAAATTATTAATATTTTGGCCATATTGACATTATAAATTACTTGGTGATATGGTAAACAGTGTCGGTGCTGTGTGCTATTCCTCTCCTCAATAATACAGTATTACCTTCTTCAGTATTACTTCTTGCCTTAAACTACTTACTTTAACATATATAGTATTTACTGTACTGACAAAACCCTTATTTTTTCCACTCCGATTTCCTGTTACTTTTACTATTGTTGGTGCTTAAATGATATAAACCCAACATACATCACTGCCATCTTGCTTTGTTTGTGGGAATGGTAATGCATCATCTCTAATAGATAAATACAGTAGTGATATATATATTTTTTTTTTAATTATATATTCTTGCCATTATAACTTCTGCAAATATATATTTTGACCTTCAGGAAATAACCAGTAGTAATTGCATAAATATTTTGTGAAGTGATATTCTGTACCTCTTGTATAGTGTTCAGTGAATTGAGTTGTTACTGACCTTCCATATATACAAGTAAAAGAGTCTTGATGTATGAAATTCCTCTTCAGATGTCATATTCCTTTTTAATTCGTTAATCACAGATGGTACTGTATTTTTTGTAGTTGATCTTGAAAAAAGAATTGAAAGTCTTTAATTGTGCTTCTCTTTTGGTAGAGTACATGAGCTGCAGTTCCTTGATGAGCTGTGTAAAATAGAGGCACATGACGCCGAGGTGTTGAGTCTTGAGTACTCTCGTCCAGACACAGGGCACAGGTTCCTGGCCTCGGCATCACGTGACAGATTAATTCATGTATTTGCAGTGGACCAGGTGAGAATTGTGCATTATGAATTATTGTTTATTAGACATTTATTTGGTGTAATGCAGGATAGATTTGTGCTTCACTGGGTGAACAATTGCAGAATGTGTAAAAATAGGGAAGTGCGAAAGGATATAAAATGTCACATAAAGTACTGGACTATCTCAGAGTGCCTCAGTAACATGTACAGTTGTGGACAAAGGTTCACTCCCTATCTGTGAAACTGACTCATGGGAATGAGTCTCTGAACTTCCTTACCTTGACTGTCATCTGGTGCTGGTGTGCTGTTTTATTTCATTTTGGGCCAATACGGCTTAAGTTTGGGAGGGAGGGAATTTTTTATCCCGACTGTACACTCTTATGTCATAATTATATCATATTGAGATTTGAATTTGTTTAATTATTGATATTTAACTTTTTTCCAAACAGGGTCCTAGTGACAAGAATTTATATTAGGTTAAAAAACTTTAGTAAATAGAGGCTACTGTACTTATAGACAATTCACTCATTACAGGATTACAGTTTTGTGCAGACTCTGGATGACCATTCCTCAGCCATAACATCTGTAAGATTTTATCAGAGTCAGGGAGCTCTACAGATGGTGTCCTGTAGTGCCGACCGGTCCATTATATTCCGTAGTGCCACAATGGTAAGTGCTCTTGATGGATGAATTGTTGAGATATAATAGTATTGTTGTTAAAGTCCCTATAAGCTAACAGTGGTTTTAAACTTGAAAATATATGGAAGCCGTTTTAGCTTGTTATATAGAAGTAGGATCTGCTTAGTGGGAACTTAATAAAGCTATTACTGTTAGTGTCTCATCTAATGTATGTATGACAGCAAGGAGCCTAAATGCTCTCCAAGACACATCCCTATCATGCTCCTCTGTCTGTGTTAGTGTGTACCCTCCTGCATCATCATAGATAGTCGGCCTTCCTTATTGCTCTAGCTTCTTTTTATCTGTCAGCATCTCTTTGTTTTATGTCTGCTAGAGAATTACCTGTACATACATATTACTTAAAAAGACATAATGGGTAACATTTATTGTTCTTTTGGAAATTCAAGTTACATCTCGTAAAGGAAATCTGCAATTTACCATTGTGTTTTGTGCTCACTGTGTTGTACTTTTATATTGTTTTATGTTATTTATTTGCTTTGTTGAATTAGTATTGTAGATACACTAAATCCTTGATATTCGGTTTACACCAGCGTGACAAATGATCACAGTACATGGGTACGGTTCATACAGATCAGTGTGGTGAATGTGGGAAGAGAATCATCTTTTTAATTACAGTATTACCTTATCTTCACCAAGATATGTATAATATGCTGCATATGTAACTGTAATACAATAAAATCCAATAATAAATAACTATATATATAGTTGGAATAGAGAGTTTGTATATTGAAAAGAGAACGTCCACAATTTGTAGTCTCTCGAGCTTACAGCTATAAGCATTATTTACACATTCAATTCCTCCTGTGTTGTTCAAGACTGGAACTTGACATTGGGTGGTGTCAATCATTACTGCATATTATGGTTTGTTCAGAATTGATGCATTTGATTTGAATATCTGAAATTATTTTTTCATTTGACCCACAATAATATGTCCGTTGTTGTCAATCAACAACAGTAGGAATCCTGTGGAAGATATGTTGTCTTGGTTGTTATCCTTGGCCATGAGCTTCCTATATTTCTGCTCACACAGTTTCTAACACCTCTTTTCCCATATAGGAATACAGTACTTGTTGAGGGTATATTTTGTTCCAACTTGTTTATTTTGTAGTACATGATAGTGGAGACTTTCTTTTCTGATAAACATACTAGCATGCATATTTGATTTATTACAGTTTTTAAGTGTTGGTGTTAGGTAATAGATCTCTTGACAATATGGAAGACAGTGATAACAAATATGGTAAGGGAAGACTGTGCATGTTTCATGTGCCTGGGTGTGAGATGATAAAGATATGGTTTTTAAAAATAGATCATTAGGACTTTTATTATGAATTCTGCCAACCAGTCATATCTGTCAGATTTAGTTTACAGTATTTACTTTGTGTTTATGTATTGCTAATGTTCTTGTTATAGTAGTATTTATTTCTCTTTGATATACTGTACAGTATATTTGTTCTCGAAGTAACAAGTAAGCAATGGAGTTTTTGTTTTTCCAAGATGCTTCATAATAATTAGTCCCCATTGTTCTCTCTTTTGAATAAACTTGAAATATTGAAATCCATTAAAACTAGAACTCTATTTCACTTGTGTTTCACCTGACTCCTTGCTTCCCCTGCTAATGATGGAAGTGTAGTACAGTAACTTTGCTGCACCTAAGTATCTAATTTTATCTTTTTCTCCTTCTGTCACCTCAGGGATCACTTAACAGAAAGATGGTAAATGGATCTCATCTGTTTCATGCTTGCCTTTCTTATCTCACTTTTTTGCATGTGTAGTGGGAGAATTTTGTCTGTAAAAGGCTTGAATTATCAATTTTAATGGAATAACAGTGAAAAATGTGATGCTATTGTGGTTGAATTATGTATCAACTTTGTGAATAATATGACTTATGTAAATGGAGACTTATTTCTTGGCTACGAGTTTGACATAAAGAACATAAGAACTTTTGATTCTTCCTCTTTGTAAATCTCACTTATTGTGTAATAAGGATTGGCAGTGAATGCTGGCCTTATCTTGGAATTTTCAGCTGGTGTTGGTATTTTTTTTTGTGCTGTAAATGTTTTGCACAATCCACTTTAGCTTTTGCATTTTCCTAGAATGATTAAATTCCTAATATTAATGTATATACATGTTAATAATTTGAATGAAATCTTTTTTGGGGCTTATTGAGACTAATGTCATAGTTTTATGATTTTTACGTCGTTTCAGACTCCACAGAATGAAGTTTGGTTCTCCCGAGGCCACAATGTTGCGGGAAAAACTACATTATATGACATGGAGGTTAGTATACTGTAAATTTAACCCCTTCACTACTGGATGCCACTTTTAATATTTTATTTGGCTGTTAGAAGGTTTTATTCATCTAGAGAAACTCCTCATAGATACCCAAGGGGTTAAGGTAGCAAATATTATATATTTTGTTGTACAAGTTAAGAACATAAGACTGAGGGTAGTTCCATCATTTACAAAAACGTTTTAAATGTAGTTACAGCTTAAGCATAATCTTACAAGACAACTTTTACTCTCTCAGGTTGATCACGGTCAGCGACACGTCCTCACTGCATGTCAGGATCGTAACATCCGTGTTTATAACGTCAACACTGGTAAACACTCCAAAACCTTCAAAGGATCTATTGGTGATGATGGAACTCTGATCAAGGTAAGCAGGGTAATGGTTCCCAGTGATATTTGATAATGAATCACTGTTGTTCCTCTCACTGGATTGTTGTCAAGAATGTACGTACAGTACTTACTAAAAAACACTATACAGTACTGTATTATTAGGAAGTAAAATTCTTGCCCTGCTTTTATCGTATAATGTAAAAACTTGTTGGCTCCTGCTTACCATATGGGAGTGGATACATAGCTCACATGTCCTCAGGGTCAAAGGTTTGCACCTTGGGTACTCTCAGTCTGCCCAGCTGTGAATGGGTACCTATCTATAAAATAAGGGAAGAGAAAGTAGTTGAGCACAATACTGGTCTCACTGTCCTCTTATTTACTGAGCCCTGATATTCTTTGTGCTATGCCAGGTGTATGCGACCCACCTTCACTTTTCATAGTCATGTTATTTCCTTAATGTTAACTATTGGTGTGGAAACATAGATCATTATCATTATTCTATATACTGTAAACAAAATTTTAAAGCTCAATTTTAAATTACCAGTATTAGTTTAATATTTAGAAATTACAAGAAATAATAATTCTGGATGTAGTTCTATAAAATTTGAATTCATTGAGTTGAAACTTGGCAACAGCCCCTGGGGGGTGAAGGAGAGGCATTGGTGCTTCAGATGCTTTGGTACAACACTAAAGGTTTTCTGTTTACTATTACAGTACTTGAATTTTTAATCAGTCTTGACAAAACTCTGTGCTCTGATGGTTGTGGCAAATAATACTGTGTTCACTTGTGATTGGATATATTTTTGTCTTTCTGTACTGTAAAAGAGAACAAAGTAACTCAAAGTATGTATATTACAGGTCATCCTTGATCAGAGTGGTATCTATGCTGCCACCAGTTGTACAGACAAGAATATGTGCATCTATGATTATTACTCTGGGGAATGTATGGCTATAATGTTTGGTCACTCCGAGCTGGTTACTGGACTCCGCTTCACCAGTGATGGTAAACACCTCATAACTGTGTCTGGCGATGGCTGCATCTTCTTGTGGAGGTGAGTATTGTGGACTACAAGGTTAAATTATTATTAATTTTTTCTCCCTCTCTTTTCCTTACTTTCTCTTTCATTCTTGTCATCTCTTCTTTATTCCTCCTTAAATTTGAATTTTAAAAGTACTGCCTGAGAATCCGGAAAATCCGAAAATCCGGACTGACCCAATCCCCAAGCAGTCCGGGTTTTTGGACTTCTACTGTATTGGTAAATACACAATACCGGTACACTATTTCATATGATACACAAACTATATAACAATAAAATGTTTAATTATATGCAATGTAAGTATTGTATGCAGGTATAACAAATATGTATAATAGTTTAATATACGTATTTAAATACAGTATACGTAAAGCGCATTAGCGCTATCAATTTCAAAAGCGTTCAGCAAAAACCATAGGTGTTGGAATTATACCAATATTCCCCTACTATTATAATAGTAGTCAATAATTATTGACTAAATTTAGAAGTGTGGAATTGCCCTAAAGAAGGTTCCTCTTTCTCTTAGTCCGGAACTCATCAGTGCTTCAACTAAAAAATATGCATGACCTAATAACCTTATGTTTGGGCACTTGGGGTCATACCATGGATTTTGTTCAACTTTCATACACAGGTATTCCTACTATCATTTTCTGTTCATCCTATCATATGCCTTTTCCAAATCTACTATAAATCACTAAAATTATCTGTAATTAATAAAAACCAACAAAAAAACTTATGAAAACCAAGAAAAAAGCCACTGATTAATTTTTTTTTTAATTAGCCAAGTTACTCAGTCCATTGTGACTGCCTTTTACCAGTATCGGTTGAAATTCCACCGATACTCCCAAAACAGGCCAATACCACTGTCACTTCTTGCAACCCAGCATCACCTATTAGCAGCATATCCCTCATCATAAAGAATGATGCTCCATGTTTTCGTGTCCACTTCTGTGCCTCGTGTTTGCAATTTTCTGTGTTGCTTATGATTTACAAACTGATTTTTTTAGAATTTTAGTGGATGTATCAATATATTAGTTTAATTGAAGATAGAATGTCTTAGTTTGTTATATATTAGAATTTTTGTTTTATTATGCTCATTCTTTGGTATTTAAATTATCATCATAAAGTATAATCTACCTAATCAATCAGTTGTTGTAAATTAATCCACCCAACATATTAGAGTCAAATTACTTGGAATAATAAAAAGATAGCCACAAGGGAGATTGATGAAAAGACTTGTTTAACCTGTATGATTGGGGGATATAGTTTAATATAAAATGAAATGTTTTCTGTGGTTAGAATGCCTCATGACATGACCCAGACGATGACTGCCCGGTTAGCCCAGCAAGCGGAGAGAGCTTCCAAAGAAAAGAGGAAACCACAGCGACAGTCTATAGACAATGAAGACTTCAGGCCTGCCACTGAGGACATGTTTGATCAGAATGCTAACGAGGCGGAGGAGCCCGACTATAGGTGAGTCTTTACACTTTAGTTTTTACTCATGATGAGTACTGTAAAAAAAAAAAAAATTTTAAATAAAAAGCAAGCCAGCAATTAATACTTATTGGTTGACAATCCGGTGTTTTGGGAGCAAACCTTGTGACTGTCCCATCCACCCTGCTGAAAGTTCTTGGGGAAATGAAATGATGCATTGAATTTAACCAAAAATTAATTATTTCCTTATTTGTTTTAATACAAGAGTTTAAGTTGAATTAATGAGTGCACCAAAATATCCTGTACAGTATAGTTTTCTTTGCTTGATAGCACATAATTTTTAACTTAAATTAGTTAGGGGGAGGATTTGACTACAGTATTATGAGAGCTGTCCATAACCCACTTGCTTCACTTCCCTGATGTTGGTCTTCCTTCCACAATGTCATTGAGAAAGCAGGAGAGCATCAGGAGGCATGATATGCTTTTTGATGCAATAATAAATCATAGATATTGGAAAATATTTTAATAGAAATATAGTAATAAACAGTGGAAGTAATTTTTTTATAGTAAATTGTTAAGTCAGGACAAATGGTGGATTGAAAATGTGCATCATTAATGAGGTGGGTTCATATTATAAAACTGACAGATCCATGACTGTTTCTTGGAATAGCCATACAGACTGGTAGTAACCAGCAATATTATCTTAAATTTGTGTTTATTCTGGGGCCTGTAGAGGAGGGAGTTCTAAAATGTGGTCGGCAAACATAATGCGGGTAACTGGGGTACACCCCAGTGTTTATATAAAAAAAGTAAAACTCGCATAGAAGACTTATAGAGGTGACACTGCTGCTCTGTATATCTTGTGTAATGTCTACTAATTCTGTCTTTCTTAGGTGGAATCATGCAAATATGTCCACTGGGACACCTACATCTAGATGCCTGGAGTAGTGAGCATACATGAAACTTAGTTCATTGTGGCACTCCTGATCCTTTTATTCTGAAAAATATCAGTAAACACCTGAGTATTGACAGACCTTACACTCACAGATGTTGATAATGTTTTCAACAAACTGTCACTGCAGCTTTGGTAAAATATCTGAAAAGCTGCCAATTTTACTGCAGTAATATTTCCCATATTTGTTTTTGGTCACCTTGTTCTCACTCAAGCTGTACCCAACTATCACATGATTGTAGTGAGGTGTAGTACCGTATTGTCATCTGGCCTGAATAAGTTTGTTCTCCATTGCACTGTGTGTAATGTAGTTCTGAAGATTTCTTGACTGCTTTGCATAACTGCACAAAACATTTTGACTGATGTGCACATGTTAATCAAAAGTTGTCTGGGTCTAGGCCTGACTAATGTCGATTTAATTTACTGTGTTATATTCATCATGAGTTGAGGATGTCACTTGTTCTTATACTTGTTTCTTTTATTTACTGTATTTTTTATATAGAAATGAATGTGTTTTATATCTCACAGATAAGAGTAAGGATGTTAAGTAGAGAAATGCTTTTTTTTTATATATACGTTTATGGTAAATAAACTGGAGTATAGTGAAAGCATGGTGATATTAATTGAGGATAATTTGACTGAAGCAAGAAATATCAAGATTCTAAGGAGCCAGTCACAATATCTCTTGTAGTAATTGCAAGTGTCCCTTTCACTTATACATCAGGGCCTGCTGCATGGTATTGTAGCTCCAGCCCAGTTTCCACATGTGCGTTTGAACTTTTGGGTATCAATTTGATCTGAAATACTGTATTTTGCATTGACAGAATTTCTTCCACTTGCAACTGAAGTGGCTGGTAATTAATGCTCTTTTTGCTGAGATTAGATTTAATACAAAACAGCTGCTCATTGGTGCAATACATTTTGTTTGGCCTCTGCTGTAACTTGTGATGCATTGAACTATGCTGTCATAAAGACAAAAATTTACCTTATGAAACTGCTTCAAAGGCTCGTGGTCCACCAAGTGTTGTTTACTATAGTATTAATTAGTGAGGCTGCACTACTTGGTTTATTTTTTAATAGTGTACATAACTATATATTGTGACTGGCATTGACTTTATTGTTTCACAAGGTTCAGTATGGGACAGTTGCCTCTGTGGGCCAAGAAGCAGATGACGGAGCCACAAGGTCCTGGTGGTGGTGCAGGAGACAGAGGAGTTGTGGACATGCCCAAGGGACGATGGGCTCAGCGACTCCATAACAATGCCATCACCTTTAAGAGCCATTATGACACTGACTCTGTAATACCCTTCCCAGCAAGAGGTAAGTTGAGGTTCTCTTCTGGCTTATGTAGAGTCCCAGCACATATAATTCGATCTCCTTTGATGCATCTTACATTGTACAGTATTCTTATTCAGTATATATCGTAATACCTATTCTTATTACTGATGGACCATCTTATATATTTGCAGAGAAACGTGCTGCAGACTCTGAGTCAAGTAAAGACAGCTCTCTGGAGGACAGTGTCGGTGTTCACAAGCAGTATAATACTCCTCGTAGAGAAAATATGTTATTAACCAAACAGGTCAGTAGAAATACAAAAAAATTACCTTATTTAACATCATCTACAAGTACATAATTTTATTTTATTACTTAATCAAGATAGGTGGGTAGTCTTTGAGTACCTCAGGGAGTTGTGACCCTGCCTTGGCAGCTGTTCCTATCCTGTGGGTTGGCATTAGGAAGGGCATCCAGCCATAAAGCATTGCTTCAACATGCCTGGTGGCAATTTGGTCACCAAAGCTGTGCCCATCCCCCGGTTTCTGCTGCATTTTCTGGGCCAGTATCCAGGGTTTGCAGTGGTGAATGGAGGGGGGTGGGGGACATCCCATTGTGGTTTTATCCAACAGCTGCCATCAGGTAATCATTGTGAGTTTTTCTTACTAATTTCCGTGGATTATTGTGTACGTTTACTCACATCATCATACTTGTTCAAAAATGACTAAACACTTGTAATTTATGCTTTATTTTCTTTCCTGACATGTGTTAATGCTGTATGTGGATTAATTTCATTGTTTTGGAAGCCAGTTTCTTACCTCTTCTGGATTATTTTGTATTTTCAGGGTAGGTACTAGACTCATTTACTGTATTTTCTGAGCATGTTTCATTGCAACCTGGTTTTGAAAGGAGGTCAGTTTTTTACGCTTAATTATAAAATTGCATTGCTTGAAGAGCGTTTTAAGGGTGAAGCATTATATCATCACATAAATAAATTTCTGTAAATTTTTTAATCATGTGGGAGCAACAGTGATGAAATTTATAATCTCACAGTTTGAAACTTACTTACCCCATGCTTGTAGAGAAGTCATTTTGGGTACAAATCCACACACCTTGATATCACAAGTTGGTACTGAGCTATGGTTGGCACTGTGGCTGGACATATGTATGTATTGTGGATAGTATTTCAATCCTCCACTGAGCTATGGTAAGTCTGGAAAGGGGCTTTGTTTATCCTGGATGAGTTGGGTAAATGTACATACAATAGAACCTCTCAGAATTAGACTTCGGCTTGAGTTTGATTTATGTCTATTTATTATCATGATTCCCTGGCTTCTTTGGGCATTTGCACCTGATCCCACTGATTGGCCCAGCAGCAGAATAACACTAAATCCCCATTAACAGCAAACAAACAAATTTGGTCTGAAGCAGATAAAGTTTATCTCAATGATTTAGCTCGGTCAATTAATCAAAGTGGTTTTGATAATATATTTAGAACAAAAGGTACAGTGTTTACCTTTCTGAAAAGCTGTAGAGCAGTGTGTCAGACTTAGAGGGGTTGTGTTGACTTAAGAAGCACACAGATACATTACCGAGATATTTCTCGTCTTTATACTGTATTTAATATTATCACTGTGTACTGTAACCAAGAAATCCTTAATACATGTATATATTTTGTATTAAAATTATCATTGTTCAGTAAAAGCTTGGGCAGGCAAGTAAATTTTTGGTCACTTGCCAACAACCCCCACAAAAAAAAGAAAAAAAAAAGTAAGTTTCAACCCTTGTACTATATTCTGTTATCTGTGGTTCTGGCTACTTCATAATTTATTTCCACTTATAGAAGTTTCTCCATTAGAAATTAGATTAGATCTTAAACAGCCATTTATGTAGTGTGAATGTCTGCTGTGTCCCAGAATGGGTGTCCGGACTGTTTCTTTTCTCTTGACACTGGCCTCCCAACTTGCAGGACCCGAGTGGAGAATCTCCTGGCTTTGTTCCTTGTCCTGACAGTTTAAAGGAAATTAATTCTGGGGGAACTTTCCAGGTATTGATTTTGTATTTGATTTGTCAGTGATAGAGAGTTTTCTGTTTCAACTTTATTTTTACTGTACAGTACTTTGCTTGTCTTCTTGGCTTATATTTTGTTAATATCTATAGCTTAGTAAGCATAACATAAAACCTTTCTGGTCATTATTTTTGTACTTTGTGTATATAAAAGTATTGTCTGCTTTTTGCTCAAGCCTTGAATTTTTCTATATTTTTCAAATAATAGTGTTGTTTTCTTTTAATTACAAGCTTTCTCTGCATAACCACAACATTCCTTGACTGTATTCATGGTAAACCTAAGTGACTGTAAGTATTATCACAACCCATAGGTGACACCCTCTAAGATTACTACTAAAAGAGGTAGTGATCTGGATGGACGGAATAGACACCACACAGACGAGAGTGATGTGAGTAGTTTACGAGTCGATGACGGCACCACAGACCACGATGGGGACATTGAAGACTGCAGCGAACATGATGACGAGAGCACGGAACCTGAGCATTCGGAACACCTAATGTATTACCCTCACAATGATGACACAGCTAGGTGAGTATTTTCTGAGTGAGAAAAAATACAAATGAGCATAATAGTTTAAACATTCATGAATTATTTTTTAACTCTTGATTCTATTTGTGTTTGGGTGAGTCTCTCCTTGTTGGTGGCATTAATGGCCACGCCTAATTCATCTTGCATAATTCCACTAAATATTAGACTGAGTTTAAGTACGGTAAACAGACTATTATCAAGGACATATCTTAAAATAGATCTAAGAGTAAAATTTACATGAACTAAACTAAACTTGCCCGGTACAGTATAAATATTTAATTCTGTACTTAACACATTTCCATTAATAATAATGATAAAATGTGGCTGTGGTCTTTTTATAATGTCTTTTAGATGTTCTTCTGGTTGAGGTATGTTGACATTTCTCACTTGGTTGGTAAACTCCACTGGCTTGATAATTCTTTTTTTTGACAATGAAATTATTAAAAGTTATATAAAAAATTGTGTGTTGTGCACTGCAATAGTTTAGATAAAAATTTTTACCAAAATGGTGTCTCGACTATAATATATAAGCCATCACAATTCCTTTAATGATCGAGTACTAGTCTGTTTACCCTAATGTTACTAGAAGACTTAATCCAGCTTAGGGCTACTGTATTGTATTGTAGACCGTCATGTATGATATCTTATTTTGGCTTTGCAGTGACTTTACAGTGAATGCTATGGACGTAGAAGAATTACGGCGGTCTCAGCGTCGACACAGGAAAGCTCGACCAGAGAGACCCACAGATATACCATTAGTGTCAGTCTCTGGGTCTCAGGATTCTGATGACGATGATGAGGTAATATTGCTGTTTATTCACTTGAAGTTAAGTTCCACAGTAAATATCCTCCATTAGCTACAGAGACTGTCATTGTAGATACAATATCAAGAAGTATTTGAATCACAGAGTTCTACATATATATATTTGTTCTTCATCAATTCTTCTCTACTTCTTAGGTGTCTACGCCGAGTGCAGACACTGCTGAGCGTAATATTATGTCCATGTTGAGCGTGAGCACCGAGAGTATTGACCGTGTTGGCCGACGAGAAAACTTCCTCAAGACCAACTATGAGTCCCTAGAGGGAGAAGCAGCAAGACCAGAAAAAGAAGTAAAAAATAAAAATAGGTACGAACATCCGTGTATTTGCCATCGACTAAATATAGGCTAGAATGCTTTTTTTTTCAGATGAGGCAAATAAGACTTCATCCAGATAGCATCTCATGGTCATGGACTCCGTCTCAACCAGGACCAAGCGCATAACCAAAGTAAAGCCAAGACAGTATTCTTTAGCCTCAAGGACAGTCTTTTTCTTAGTATGTAAATTTCCAAGAATTGCTGACGGGAATTTTCATGGGCATACAGCAGCCGGCCCATCATTCATGTACAGTACATCACATACCTTTATTCACCAAATTTACATTTCTTTCTATCACTCACGCTCTGTCATTCCCCATCAAGAAAATATTAAACAACTTTGGTGACATTACACATTCTGGATATAGCCTTGCTTAAATTAGGGATCAGTTTCCCTCTTTCAGACAAACCCTTTGCACTCTCTCCCTGTGAAAAGTCTGGAAAGCATTTAAGTTTCACTTTTACTTCATATATTTACAGTATATTCCACACTACTTTTTATCTAGTGTCTTGTATGCTTTTCCAAATCAATAAATGCTGCAAACCAATTCTTGCTCCTCACTATAAACATTTCATGTTTTTTTTTTGTTTTTTTTTCCAGTACAAAACATTGATACACATGGTGTCATTTTCCTTTCTAGCAATGTACAGGCAAACCAGCCATTTTTAATTTGACTGGAGGCAGTGTTTGATTGGTAAATGGTTTGGGCTAGTTTCTGTAGTTTTCACTACTTGGTTTGTTTAAGTGTTGGCTAACTTAAATGTTTCCAGGTAGGTTAATGGGGTGGTTAGGTTAAATTACGTTTATCTGACTATCAAAAGCAATGATAATTTCTCTCTCTCATTGCAGCATATCTTACAAGTTTAATGCCAGAAATAAAGATAGTCACGTGTCAAATAAAAGAGAGGAGCTTTTAAAGAGAATTGAAGAAACAAGAAAGAAACTACAAAGTGTAAGTTCTCATGAGTATGGTATACTGTACTCAGAATTATGAACATATTGAGTTGTATGAATTTCAGATCTGTTCAATATTAGTGTGAATATTATTTTGAGTTTGTAGCATTAAATGATCTTTCTCATTCCTTTTATTTTTGTTTTAGATTGGCTATAAATCTAACTTAAGAAATAGCAAGAGCATCTCGGACCTTAGCAACATTCCTGAGAAAGATACGTCTTATATGTCTGGGAACCAAGGTAACAACTGTGAGTGTGATGATAACCCCTTTCATCTTCCTGTCCCCACTGCATCTCACATTCCTCTCACAGGCTCCAGCAACATTCCTGAATTATTCACCAGAAGTGTTCCAACAGTTGTGCCAGGTGTTGTGGGTAGTATATCTGAATTAGTATCAGGCTCTCTTCCCCGATTTGTCACTGGCAGTGTACCTGAGATAGGGTCTAGTTGCCTTTCAGAGTTGGGAAGTAGTAATGCAGATATGGGAGTTGAGAGTTTAGGAAAGATCGGTGCAGCAATATTTGATGGTAGTGCTGTACCGAGAGATCAGCAAAGAACAGGTAAGCAACTGCTAGCTCAACTAGAAAGAGATCTGCAAGAGTTTGATCTTCTGATGGGGTGTCCACCATCACCTCCTGAAGTTGACACAGATTCTTTGGAGGAGACCTTACGAAGTTTGGCCCTATTGACCTCCCAGGAAACTGTGCCTAAACAAGTTTACCAGAATCGTCATAGAGGTGATGAAGACTCGGACAGTGACACTGTTAAGAGCGAAACATCAAATTTTAGCTGTGATAGTTTGGAAGATGGAGAAAATGAGGAGGAAGAGGAAGAGGAAGAGGAAGCGGAACCATCCCCCGAGGAAGAAGCTGAAGATACTCCTCGCCACCGTGTGTTTGAAACGCCCAATACTCTGCCTCTCCCACGTCGTAAGAGGCAGAGATGGCAAAGACTCTCACTCGAAGGTGTATCTAAGTACCGACCCAATGATTATGAGTCTGATGTGTTTCCAACAAATGAAATGTCAACTAGTTCTCATTCTCAAGTATTTCGGACAGCATCAGATACAGCACTGGCTAATAGTGACAGCAGCCATTCAGATGTACAGACACCCACTAATCCCCCTTATTTTTCTGTAAAGTCACCGGGGCATACAACCAGCTCTAGGTGTATGACGGTTCCTGACACTACTCGTGGCCTTGTGAATCAGCCCAAGGAAACCATTGTTGTACAAGAAAATGACTATAGTAATACTGTGTCCACACTTACTGTAGAGACGCACTCATACCGGCTTGAACGTTCAGCACCCGTGTCTTTTTCAATACCCCAGCCCCCAGCAGTAGAGCAGCTGAGGAGACAAGGCCGTGAATTATCACCTCGGCGGCAGCCTCACAAAAGTAGAGTCATTCTTCCCCCAGCTAGTGTAGGTGATGCAGAGCATTTTCCTGTGGTGCAGGCTCAGCCCCTACCCCCAGGGCCTCCTGCAGCTGTCTACCTACCATCATCCCAGCCCACACTGCCTCAAGGAGCTATACCTACTCCAGGCAGGGCTCATCGGGTTCTGCTAGCAAAGAGGGTCACCATACAACAAATACTTCCCTCCAAACGTAAGGGTTGGATATCTCATTTCGCCTGGCTGCTCTCATGGCATGAGGAATGACTCATCAGGTTTACAGACTCCTGATTTTATGTTATTCACCTTTATTATTTATGTTGTAATAATTTTTTTCCAGGAAACATTTATGTTATTATATCTTATTTGTAGTTACTAATTATTTACATTTGCATGATATTAGATGTTTTTTGAGTTATTCAGTGCTTTTTTGCTGTGTGATAGCATTATGATACATTTATTTAGGTTCTTTTATAAATTTAGTTTTCATCAGATAGTTATTTGACAGTCAGAGAGCACAAATTTTCTGGCATACAGTACTGTAATTTGTGCTCCATGGATTGTCATTTATCAGTCTACTTAAATTGAGAGTTTTGTTTGCATTTTCAGTGAAGCATGATGAAGTAAGCATGGCAGCATAGTGTTGGCCAATACAGCAGATAACATTTGCCATTATAATGACTTATAATTTTGAATGTGTTCTGCTTCTTATCCTGTACCTCTGTAATACTTTTAAATGCATATAATTGTTTGTTTATCGGCTTTTGTTTTTTGCATGTATTTTTTGTGCCGGCCTTGTTTGTTTGCACACACTGTGGTGCATGATGGATGGATTCAGGCTGTAATGTATCAATATAGTCAATGTATTGTAAATAGAAATGTTATCTTGTTGATTACCAGACTCTGGATTACCTATATAGTACTGCTCAAAAGATTAAAACAAAAAATTATACTACCTGGATATAACAGTCATAGATTAGCTCACTGCTAAGGGTTATGTTATTGGACACTTTTAAAGAAACTAGTTCCCCTTCCAGGAAATCAAACCATCCCCTTGACATTTATCTGAATCCACTCTTGTGCATGTGTGCTGTTGTTTGTAGATGGCGGGAGTGGCGACAGTGGGTTCAGCAGCAGCCCTGGTGGTGGCAGTGGTGGGTTACGTCGCGCGTGCTCTCTCAGTGACCTCACCAACCCCGGTGCCCCACGACGCCTACTGCCAACTCCCCCCTCGGGTATGCTTGCACCCGCACCTGTATTGCCACATGTTTGCCGACTATATTCCTGTCACCCTTGCCACACTATCACACCATCTTGAGTTTTGTATGAACACTAATATAACTTAAAATATTTATTTTATTATGGTATTTAAATACTAAATTACATACCCATTTACGGTAATCAGTGTCAGGATTCACAGTCTTTGATTCTATTGCCATGCAGGACTTTATGACAGGCATTGTTTATTTGACTATGTGATAGGATAATTATATAGGACACCATAAGTCTTAAGAATGTGTTGTAACCTGCCAGACATTGAGGAGTTAATGGCTGGTGGTGTGTGGTTAAGATGGCCTTATTTATGTGGGAAATTGCTTTGACAATAGTTTTGTTTATCCCTGTGATTACTTTCTTCTTTGTTCAGTTTTACTGCAAGTGCTTTATTGCGTGCACAGCAGTACTGTACACTGTCTTTGTGATATCAGTGCATTATGTTGGATTTTTAATTTTTATTATGTTACTTGCTCGTGTCTTTCATCATTATTGGTCTTCTTTGCTTCTGTCTTTCATCTTTTATTTATTTTTTCATAATTTCAGTAATTTTTCAGTATCATCATGTTTGTTTCCTTAAATTGTCCCCTTTGTGTTCAATTGATTTAATCGCCATGGCTAATACACACAAGCTTGAAAAAAAGCCGTAAAATGACGATGACCACCACCACAGGTTCTCACATCTTGTGTAATGAAAAGTCTCTGATTAGTTTATTTAATAGTGTAAAGAATAATAATTATTTGGCAAACATGTCTGATACTTACTGTGTATTTATTTTAAGGAAGATTTAGCATATGACTGTAATGAGTATTGCACAAGAAATTTATAATGATGGTGATTACAGTATTTGTTCCATATTTTGAGGTGAAATCTATTTGCCATTTCTTTTAGCTCAGCACAAATGGTCCTCAAAAGACGTAATATGAAATATATTTGAATAAATGACCGTGAACAATAACAGCAGAGAGCCAAAGGGTGTAATTAGGATTCATAAAAGAGATAAATATGAGATCACAATCCAAATGAACATAAATTGTGCTGAGTATGTGATGACACTTGAATGTATGGCGTGAGAAACAGATGGCAGTCAGTGTCTTTTCTTTTTACAGTCCCGTGTTTCATATATACTACAGTAGAACTTGATATAACGCAAGTGCTGTTTCAATGGGATAATTTAGTTTGGGACTTGAGAGAAACACAAAATACTAAAAAGACTTGAGAGTCAACCCAGATGCACCTCAGCCCATCTCTTAGAATAAACAAAGCATTGTGTTTTTGTAGTATTATGTTAAAACAAACACTCATAAATCAACACAGCTAAAATTAAGGGATTCGAAAAGGTCTGTTTACTGGCTGGGAAGATGGGGGGAGGGAGGGAGGTAAGGTGATATGTTTGACAGTTGATGCCAAGGTCTAGTGCTTATTTATTTATCTGTCCTTAAGAGTGACTTGGAAGTTTTTCTCTTATAAAATGTCACTGAACTGACATGGGAGAATATAATTAAGATTGCTGTAATTCTTATAAGATAATAATTAATTTGAATATAAACATGCTATAGCTTGCATTAGACATACAAATTTTAGTTCTAATTTAAGAATTTTAGTACAAAGAGCAAAAATTTTTATATCTTGTGCAAAATATATGATGTTTATATTAAAATTATTCGCTGTCTTGCAAGGATTCCAGCAATACAAATTATATTCTCCTAACTTTAGTCTGTGACATTATATAAGATAAAAACTTTAAGCCCAGAACACCAAACCCTGGCTGGGAAGATGGGGGAGAAGGAGGGAGGGGAGGGAAGTGACGGTGACATGTTTGACAGTTGGCGCCGAAGATCTAATGAAGTATTTATTTATGTCCTTTAGCTTGAGTTTATGTTTTTTGCTTATAAAATGTCACAGAAGTGACCAGGGAGAATATAATTTACATTGCTGGAATTCTTATAAGATAATGATTAATTTTAATATAAACATGCTATAGTTTGCACTGGACAAAAGTTTTAGTAATCATTTAGTACATTATTTTGAGTACATGTACAGTACGGCTTTGCCCTTAGGACAGTGTAGCGTGCCCAAAGAAACTCGAGGCGCAAAATTTTAAATATGATGCGCCAGATTGACTCACACAAAATAGGAAAGATTCTCTTTAAATTAAAACATTGTCCTTAATTGTGGGTGTCGCTTTAAATCAATAATCTTAAATTGAATCGCTTTAAATCGATGTTGTACATTATGGTATGTACAGTAAAACCTTGTTTTTGTGCAATGTTGTAAAATCATGCAATTGTAAATCCAGTGTAGAGTGAGAAAGGAAGGATTAAGGCCAAGGAACCACTGAGACCATCCATTATCAAAATCTTTACAGCCTGTTTATAGCCCCAGTTATGTCAGAATGCATAATTAAACAAATGATTTATCATAAAAAAAAACTTAATATGATGTTGGGTCACAATCTCATTACTACCCATAACAGTAATTTTTTCCAAACATATTTAAACATTCTGTTCAAATAACTAACTTTTTTAAGCATTCAATCTGCACCAATGGCCATTGAGGGGGGGTCAGATAAAAGGACATTTGCCGATTTCTGTTGAGAAAATACATGAATTGCCATTGTGTGAGAAAAGAGCATCAACTTGTATCTTATTTAAGAGTGTTTTTGGTGCATTTACACATTCGTTAGCTGTTGTAATGCAGATCTTATGGTAACAAATTGCATAATAAGAAGGGTTTACTGTACTGAACTAGTTTTTGGCATAGGGTTTGATATAAAAGGAAAGGGAGTATTGTGCCTTGGTACCTTCTATTACAGTGAGGGACAATACCATATTTAGCCATTTTTATTACTTCAGTACTAAATGCATATACTGTGTGTATTTTAGTTTCCCATATACGTATTGAAAGGTCAGTTACATTATACAAAATTTTTAAAATTATTCATATATTTGATCTTTTGCCTGGATTGGTTTGTTTATAAATCGATAAATTAGTAGCATTGGTATTTATTCATATTCATAATGTAGCACTGAAATAAACCAGATGTTATAGTGTTACATGTTATCAGGACAGTTAGTGTTGCATTTATACAGGTAAACCCTGCTTAATGTAGCATTGCCGAGTGTAATTTTGCTATGTTGTAGTTGAGAAATTATTACCAGTCTTCACCAAACATAGTACATTATGCTGCTATAACAGGCTGGCTTGGGAAGTATTGACATATATAGTTTAATGACGTTGAGGCAGGTGTCTGATAATGTTCTTGTAAGCTTCAAGACTAGTCATGTACATTTGTTGTTTCATTTCACAGGCATCTGTTTGTCACTTACTCATACACTTCATACTACAGTATAGTTTTTGGTATTTTGTGACTTCTTTATTAATAGTTATTTCACCCTTTATATTATTGTAGTTAAACACTGCATAGGGTGGGAATACATCTCCAGATATTACATTCATTCCATAAGGAAAAAGTACTTCATATTAAGTAGTTTGACGCATCATAATGTTTTGCTGGAAAGGCATGTACTATGTTAAGTGGGGTATGCCTGTATATACTTGTAGTTTGAATATGATTTATGCAAATTTGCTAAAATAATTACTGTACTGTACTGTATTGCTTTGTACTGAAGGATAAAACAACCAAGTACCTGCAGGAGTTATACTAAATTGTAGAGAAGAAAAGAAAATTGAAGGGTTTTACAACTTATTTAAAGAATTGGCTGAACATTGTAGAAGTGTGGTAAGGAACTTGTGTCATCTTTCTATTGACCACTAGGACAGTCGACTGTAAATCCATTTTAGTAGTTGTTTGCTTGCCTGTTTATCACCTACGTGGTAGTTTCATTTTTTTTTATGACACGACACGATTTAGGTTGGAGGGCTCAATATTTCTTGGTTTATTAACCAATTAGTGGCCATCATTGGACGATATGCCATTCTAGTGGTTTGCGTGTCCACTTGTTTGTCACTCCTTGTTTAATGTAAAGGAAATTTTGAAGAAGGACAGCCGACCTTAGAATTGTATATGTATGTAGTAATGTTTCTGTATGTGATATAAGCCTCTAGTAACCTATCAGATTCCCTTTAGTAGAATGTTGAGTGTGGTAGTGTAAAGAAACTTGTACAGTATGAGTATAATGTTTCAGATACACATTACAGTAGTACAGTACTTGGAGGATGTCTTGATCTTTAGTAAAATATAACTGAGTACTGTAATCCAGAAGCAATATTGTCATTCATGGTGCTAATAGGATCATCGGTGTTAGAGTTAGGTAAATATGACCCACAACAATAGGATGTTACTTTATTGTTTTTTTCAGCCGGCGGAAAGAAAGGTGGCAGCAAGTCAAGTGGCAAGTCCCCGGGGCGGTCACACTCGTTATCACGCTCCAGTTCCATCGGCGTTCTTAACCAAGTGAGTTACTGTCAGATGCTATTTTAAGGACTTATTCTACTCATTATTGGTCAGCCTTTGACTTGATATGTTTCATACTAATTGAATAATGACTAAGAAACCAATTTTCTTACCATAATTCTATTTTTTAATTTGTGGAGCTAATGTTCACTAAAGGGGATAGCTTAATATACCAAGTATAAGTTCATCACAGCTGATTCATGCTGTATTTTACATATAGAATGCAGTGAAGTTTCTCATTACTGGAATAATTGGTGAGCAGCCACCGAAGTGTATGCAGGTTTCCAAAGTTTTGTGTTCATGTTAAAAGCTTGCCAGCACTTTACTGTCTGGTTTGGGTTGGGACCAGTTTATAAGTTTTGTTAAATAGTTTGTCATTGAATATATACCACACTTGATATTTAAAGTAACCCCTGTTATTAAACTTTTTCTCTTGCATTTGTGGTATAAAGTACTTTGTCATTCTTTATATAAAGCAATAACACATAAATGTAACTCCCAGACTGGTGAAGATAATTCAAGAAGTGAACGACCAATGCGACCCACCATAGCATCCATGAACAAGATGACTCCTCGTGCTCTGAAGAGGAAGGCATCACTCTCACAGGCTGTGTCCACAGGTAAAGTAACTTGTAGAATGTTTAGATGTCTCAAGTTAAGTATATGTTTTAATCTCTCAAGCCTTTTTTTATTTAACGCTGCTATCACATTCATGGAATTTGTGTGTGTGTGTGTGTGTGTGTTGTAAAGGATCCTGTGATTGGCCTGAACATATTAGAATACTGGTTACTAGTAAATGCTCCCATAACCAGACAGAAGCCTATCTAATCTGGAAATGTTCTGTTTGTATGATACTTGTACAGTTTTCAAATTATAATTGTGCAACCGTGGAATATAAATCCAAAACATACAAAAGTATGATGGGGAGAATGATGACTGAGAGGTAAGAGAAAATAAAGAAAAGTACAGCTCTATGTATTGTAAGTGAATGCATTTATACATCTTACTTATGCAATGAAAATGAAATCAAAGATAAATACAGTACAGTTTGATAATGGATTGTACTGACCATTAGAGGCTGCAGTGGTCCCTTCCAGTTTCAACATTTAAATTGCAGCATGTACCGTATGTCAACACTACTCGCTTGAATGACTACCTTCTCTTATGATTTTGAATAAGATAGGTGTACAGTATACCTCACTGGCACTAAGTTTGGGCTTGGTTATGTAGTTATTGGTGTTTCTTAAGTTAACAGTGGAATTTTTCTTCTCTTCATCATTTTGCAAATATTGTCCCATTGAACTAGTTGAGAACTGAAGGGTTAAATTATCACTATCAAAAGGTTAAACCGTCACCATCTGCGGGTTAAGTCATCATACTTAAAGGGTTAAGGGGGATGTTACTATAATTTCTTTAATCTCTACTGTCTTTGAAACATGAAAGGTTGACATGTAATAAATCTCTTATGATGTTTTCAGGTGACATCCGGCAGTTCCACGAAGACTCTAGTTCGGAGGATGCATCTCCCTCGGAACATAAAAATACACGCAGTCGTACCCATGGAAGTGACAGGTTAGTGCTCTTAAGACTGAACGATAACTACACGGAATATGGTGCACATTTTGAGCAATAAAAAATAATCTGAAATTGTTGTGACATAAATATATTAATCCAGTGTCTTATAGTGGACCCACTTCTCATGTAGATTTTTGCTAGAAATTTTATCAGCATGTCTAAATTTTTGTCTAAGGTACTTACTTAGTAGTTTGTTTTCATAACTCATTTATTCAATTTCATCCACAAAACAATCCCTTACTTACCAGTGTTGTTTTTGTCTACTTTCTTAGCTGTTTATATTACCTTGTACTGGATTAGTTTTTATTTCCAATCCTTCCTGCCATTATTGACTGCTTCTCCATTAACCCCTTGTCTACGAATCCCCTGTCCGAGTTGAAGAAAATAGTGTGGCGTTAGCCAAATAAAATATTAAAAGTAGCATCCCATAGTGAAGGCGTTAAGTCCACTTTGTAATCATGTATTTTCCTATTCTGAAATCTTGCATTCAATTGATTGTAAGGTAGCTACAGCAACTCCTGTCAAAGCAATAATAAATCAGTGTGGCGTGCATCTCCCACAATACTTCCCACTGTAGGGTGGCTGGATCTTTTTAGTCTTCTCATTATATCCCTATAACTTTTATCTTTGTGCAGAAATCCAGTATCAAGGTCCCCCCCCAGAAGTAGTGGAAGGGAAAGTAAAATCAGTCAGAATTACAACATAAAAGAGAGCTAATTAATGAAGAGTAGGGGTGTTTGTGACTAGCATTACAATATTTAGACTGATTTTTACTTTCCCTTCCACTACTTCTGGGGGGGGACCTTGATACTGGATTTCTGCACAAAGATAAAAGTTATAGGGATATAATGAGAAGACTAAAAAGATCCAGCCACCCTACAGTGGGAAGTATTGTGGGAGATGCACGCCACACTGATTTATTATTGCTTTGACAGGAGTTGCTGTAGCTACCTTACAATCAATTGAATGCAAGATTTCAGAATAGGAAAATACACACACACACACACACACACATAAGTAATATCTCCGTTAGCCGGAATCCCTCAAACCAGAAAATTTCTGATAGCCGGAATTGAAATTTTCTTGGAAAATCTTCCCCAAAGCCATAATTTTCCGGAAAATTCCGGCTTTGGGAAGTAATTAATTAGTTAATCCCCTTAAATTCCAATTCCGAGAGAAAAGTAGGTTTACAGTTTTTTGGCAGTTTCGGCCCAAAATTAAATTTTTTTGAAAATCTTGGTGTAAGTACTCTTGAGCATGCTAATTATGAATCTATGGTCCACAGTTCGATTGTGGGATAATTGGTGGTTGCAATGACACTTGGAAGATCAAATTTTTGGAGGTTTTGGCCAAAAATTAGATTTTGTTGAATATCTCGATATAAGAGCTAATTTTGTTGCTACTTAATGCTTTCAGTACTTAAGTATTTTATGAATGAGATACTTTTTTACTTCTACTTGAGTACATTGGAGTTTGGATGCTTTTACTTCTACTTGAGTAACATTTTGCCAATCTAATAATACTTTTACTTAAATAATAAAGTCCGGTATTTTTTGCAACTCTGATTACAGTACACCGTTTCTCATTTGCTGTCTGTAATTTAGCCCCGAACATCTCCTGCATTGCATAGTTATCCAAAAGTTACTAAACCAGTTAATTTTGCCTTCTTAACACGCCCTACTCTATTTAGCTCTTAAACACAAAACTTTTCAGCTGCATGTAATGGTGTTGTGTAGTAAAAAATATATAAGGACTTAGTAAGCTGCTTGTTTTTCTCTTGTATATGTGCTTTGCATCACATTATCTAAAGTTTGTGTTCGTATGCTTGATGATTGTTTCTTAGGAAATTTGAAATATGTGATTCTTAATTCTTTGATCTTCAATCAATGTCTTGGAGTACACTGACCAAGACACGGTGAATTAATTTTTATTCTTTACTTGTGGAGGACAAGTGTCTGGATCATATTTTTTATATATGCTTGTAACAATAATTGATATTAACAAATGAATTCAGAATCGTACATTACTTTTGCCATTCATTAGTCATCTTTGAATCTTTACAAAATAGAATTGTATTATGTTGAGGTAGTACAGTAGTTGTATGCCTTTTTTGAAGCTATGTGTTGTATGTGTTGTGATGTGTTGTGGTGTGTCAGGCGCAGCAACCTTCCCACTCGTGCGGTGAGTGAGCGTGACCTCACCCGCAGCAACAGTCTGTCCAGTAAATCCCGAGGAGAGTCGGTACGGGGGTGCTACACCTCTGCTGCATCTCCAATATCGAGACGTGGGCTTCCCTCCTCTGACATCAGCCGACCATCTTCTGCTGCCTCTACTGTGGATATGAGTCCAGAGGAATATCCAACACGTGATGACCTCTCATTCATAGACTTTGAAAACATGCCATGTGAGTATTGCTCTTGTAGTATATGTGTAAAGTTTCAGGTTTCTAATTGCTTATATTTTAGTGCTCTGACTGGAACACAGACAGACATGTCCTTTGACATGCAAATATCTAGATTTTATTGAGTGTGGTGTAAACAATAATAGCAGTGTGTAAGCATCATTGGCACTTTGATATTATGCATTTAGTCTTTATTTGCTGTTGGAATATTGTTTTTGTTTTATTGGTAATTTAGGAATGTTCAGGCATTATTCACTACCTGTTCCTGTTTAGCGATATCTATTTTCTTAAAACTGATATACAGTAACTTGATTATGCAGTGTATTTTATGTTATCACATGAATTTCATTAAAAGTTTTAAGATCAATTTTACCAGGGAAAAAAAGAAAGAAAGAACAAGCTTTACTTTCATACTCATCTTTGGTATTTAATGTAAGGTAATATATTATGAAATCCTCTATATTGTTTAAAACCTTATTAAAATTCTATCATTCTAGTGAGTGTTGGGGTGGTTGAAAGTGTTTGCGAATGGGTAGTAGAAGGATGTGAGCGTTTAAGTCAATTGTGGTGGCGAGCGTGTAGTGAAGGAGGTGGAGAGGAGGACCATCACCGTGCCCTACGTTCACTCTTACTGGGTGCTGCCGCCAGAGCCACCCATGCCCTTACTCCTCTCACTGCTCCCAATGCTGCACCAGCACCATCCTTAATGAACCCGGCACCCCCACCACCACAAGGGACGGACAGTAAGGATCCCCGAATGGTAGCAATGATGCAACAGTACACCGACATTCTGGTCAATATGGTTCAACAAAAAATGGCATCACATCAGCCTCCTCCAGGCCCAGCGTGATTATGTATCCCTCCCAACAGTCATGCAATCCAAACCTCAGATAGTCATATGTCTTAATAGGCAATGTGTATAATTTAAGTAGAATGTGGAAAATGAATGTTATTTCCCAACTTTTCTTTTTTTGTGAAAGGCTGTGTGTTTTTCCCTTTACTTGAATAAAACACGATGTGATTTTAAAGATTCTCTATATAGTATGGTTTCGTGTTCATATTGTCCAGTAAACAAAGTGTTAAGAAATACAGTCTTTCTGTGAGTGATGCCATTTTTAGTTATGTTTGATTTTTATATGAACGATTTGACATTCCAGGTTGTCTGTGACAATTATTTCCATTTAGGGCAAGAGTTATTTTTGTCCAATTTGCTGCCAAAGCTCTCATGACCACTATGTCATTGTAATTATCTCCTGCCATATAATCTAATGGTTCAGTTGGATAAAAACTGAACTTAAAAAAGTAGGATTGATGAATGCATACATTTTGTTTGGTTTTTCATTCTGATTTATAATGATGAAACAAGATCATTGGATCAGTGTGGTGAATCAGAAGCATAGTGATCTGTACAAAGTGGTTGTCAGGTGAGAGTGGCTTGTTGACGCAAGGATGCACTAGACATATGGCACACAGGCTGTCGCAATGCAGCAATAGGCCGTTAGCACCAAGTTTTAGAAGGTGATCTTATTCTGTATTAGATTAATATAATCTTGTATTCAATACTTTATTTAACAGCATTTTTTTTTATTTTTTTTTTGTTTTTTTACTTTTAACATAATCCATATGCTATTAACTTGTCTAACTTGTCAGTTACAATTTATTGGACATGGTGAAGGCTTACTGCTGATTTGGGCTGGCTGTTTACCCTATGTTTTAGAATATATTTTTTATATACCCTAGTTGTGCAAATTGTACTGCCTGGTCTCATTAGTGTTATATAATATCTATTATAAAGAATTATGTTGAACTTTCATAAGAATATTGATAGTTATGAAAAAGGTCTGCACTTTTTGAAGGTTTTCAAGTGGAGTGTAAAGTAAATCCCAATTAGGATGATTATTTGTGTCAAACATTGGGCATTTTTTTATGTCTGGGAATCTGGATTAATCCTTAGTGTCATAGAAATATTACCTATATCTAGTTGCTTAACCAGACTCAACAAGTACACTTCTGGATAAAAATACAGACCAGGCAGGATTAGTACCCAACCACTGATGGTATCGCTAGGTGTGGAAGGTATTGCTGCACTCTTGCGTTGACTTCCACTCATCGATACCAAAAATTTTTGCTCTGTTGCTCACTGCTGTCTGTGCTCATGCTGGAGCTGATTTCAGATATTTTTCTGTGATTGGAGTTCCCAGTATTTTTATTACTATAAACTTATCAGAGTTCTTCAATTAAGGCTTTTTAATAACTTTTGAACTAGAAATATTGAAATTAAGTTTAAGCTTTGGTAAAAGCTTGGACAGTATTGTCTGTGAGCAGCATTTAGTTATAATGAAAGTGTTAGCCCCTAGCACTGGCTAGTTGTGGTAGGACAACCTTGCCCACCCATAACCATGAAAATCAAAATAAACTGCTGGACTCTCTTGAGATAGAAGCTTCCAAATTAGAGTGATACTGTTAGTGATATTCTCATTAAACAGTTAAGGTACTAAATTTGTATTGTAGCTCAGGGTGGTGATACTTAGGAGTTGAGGCTTGTGTGTGTTTGGTAACAAATGTGACATTAAGCCCTCATCCTTGGGCTCGGGTGGGCTTGGAGCAGTTGTAGGAGCATTGACGTCTTTACCAGTTCTTTGTTTGAATTGCAAGAATACTTGAAAAGGGTAGGATGAGCTGGGCTGAGTTGAGTCAAGCTCCCCCAAAGGCACCTGAAGGTGCCAAGGTGAGAGGTGTGCCAAACCCTTGCATGCATGGCCAAGTGCCTTGCCTGCTTGGGAGTGTATAGATGTATAATAGTGTACATTCTCTTTAGCTTCTAGACATCATTCCCTTTGCTTGGGAGGCTCACTGGTCACAGGCTGGGTTTAAGAACTAGCAGGTCTTCACTTATGTAAGATTGTGTCTTCCCATGGCTGTCAGCATCATTGCCTTCCATTAGTGCAGTTGTCCTCCAGTCTACCCCCAGGGTGTCGAGACAGTGCTGTTGAACAGCTTTGTCCTCTGACTATGCTCATGGAGATCCGGGTAAGTGTTTGCCAAATGAAATCTCATTTCTTGATAACCATATTTCATGAAGAATGATGTCCTTTCTTTTTTTTTAAACCTAATAAACAATGTTTCATTTTAAATAAATCTGAGAAATGATTACAATTGAATATTTTATCCTGACCTAAGTTAAAAAGAAAGGATAGCTTGGCAAGTGATCGTACAAAATAGTAGTTAAGTAGTTAGTTACGTTGCATTATGAATTTACCTTGTCTATAGTGACCAGGTGTATTATTATTTGTAGAACCAATCATTACGAGCGAGTTCTAATATTAATTATTCTTGGCAAGAGGTGATGCTGCCACATCATTAAATAAATGGACGACAAATGCGTGCTTTCAACTTGCACATATTTTAACCCTTTAACTGCTCCTGTCCCTAATTGGGGATCAAGATGTGTGTACCAATTTTTCAAACACAGGACGCTCCCTAAGCCTTAGCCACCCACACATTATAACGTACAAGATTTTATAGCATTGGAATAGTGGTGAAATGTGTGTGCCTTTTTTAGTGTAAAGACTTTAGTAAAATATACCCCCAGATAACAATATACTGTACAGTGACATCTCTGTTAGCCGTAACAATTGGTGCAGAGCACTTACGGGAATGAGAGATTTCTGGCTAACGGAGATATTACTTAGGACAATAATAATTTTGTTCAATGATTGATGAAGAAAAGTAAAGTTACTTTAGTCATAGAAAACCAACACACATGTCCTGATGTCAACACCCAACCACTACCCTCACTCCTGCCAGGAGGGAGGGTAGTGGTCTGGAGTCCCATCCTCCCACCCGTGTAGGACATCCTGCACTAGCTTGCTTTCCACCTCTGTGGTGCACCATTTAAAGTGAGTACTGCTTTTATACTCCATTTTATTTATTCTCATTCATGTGCAACTATTATGTTTATTAATGTATTTTGAGAACTTTGAATATCCTTCCTATTAAAATAATGAGCAGTTGAAGGGTTAAATACCTATAGCACATTTTTTGCCCAGCTGAGAAAAGATGCCCCGACCTCTCCAGAAGAGTTGCAGCTGATTGGCTGCTGCAAACCTGTCCAATTTTGTCCTGTAGTAATGATGTATTTGTAAATGAGTCTATTCATAATCGTTAGGATGACAGTTTGTGACGAGAAAGATATTTAGCTAAAATATATAAAGATACATACATTCATTATTTCAAACATAAGCACGTAGGAAGTTTATCAGAAGTATTATACACGAATTAACTGTTAAACTCTGGTAGCAAATTCACACTTTTGGAGGATGCATTTAATATATACTTATTTTTACCCACATTAAGACATACTAAGACAAATGACGTATCAGTAAAACTACATTATGTAAAAACAACATTTTTAAAGATTGAAATCACATTGAAATATTACACAACCATCAGCAGAGGCAGGAAATATATGAAGTTGTTCACAGTCATATTTCCTGCCTCTGCTGATGGTCGTGTAACATTTCAATGTGATTCCGATCTTTAAAAATGTTAAATGTAAATTGAGACTTCAGGACAAAATCGGACAGGTTTGCAACAGCCAATCGGCTACAACTCTTGGGGAGAGGTCGGGGCATCTTTTCTCAGCTGAGAAAAAATGCACTATAGCACTTGATATATAGTCATAAATGAATTGTAAAAACCATAACGATTGCTGTAACATATCTAGTAATACTTATGATGTTTTGATTAAGCATATAAAACAAGGGATATTAAATTCCTTAATTACCTCATACAATCAATTTTATTATAAAGATAAAAATCTTTAATCTGCAATATATTATCTTCGCAATACTGTCTCTGCCTTCATGACCATTCTTTGCGTCATTGAAGTAATGCTGAATTGAAAACATTTCATTGAGAAGCCCACTTTTATTAGATGATTAACCAGTGTGCATACACTCATAAAAAGCCCCAATTTCTGAATTCTTTATCTTTGGTAGTCCATGAGGCAAAGAACATTAACAATACAAAATATATTACTCTGATAGAACATATGGAAATAAACCTCAAACCAACTGCTAATTTCAAAATTAAACTAAAGTTCAAGATTTACTTGTAAACAGCCTACAAGGATCATTGCCATTACTGTATTTTATAAAACTGCAGTATAATATATACTGTAGTTTTATAAAATACAAATGGCAATGATTTTTACTGCTCATATTATGAACAGTATAAACTGATTTCTTATATCTTCAACATATTAAAGAACCCCTTGTCTTGAAAATGGAAGCTGCATACTGCAAAAAGCATGTTTAGAAAATAAATATATTTTCTAAATTGCATTTTTTCAGCTGCAGTGGTTAAGGTTTATGAGCAATAAGTTATTTTTGGAAGACAAAAGGAGCCAGATTTAATGCCAACTAATATGCAATGATGATGAATATAATCTTCAAGTGTATACTTTATTGATCTCCAAGTTCTCATCCACCATAATGTAAAATATGTTTACTTCAATGACAATCATTATTCATATTCTTTTAAGTCAATTGTAGTTGAAAGAATTTAATGAAATGGCAATAGAGAAATTAATTGAATCTTTAAAGATATACAATATATAGATGATAATATGAATGAAAAATGATAGGGTATGCATTAAGGTGAAATCTATAACCATAAGGCAGATGTGTTGTCTACAAAGCATAATACTTCAAACAGGCATATCCACCACAACCAATGAAGAGAGAAACCAGACAAAAATACAAGTATCACTAAGGCACAGTTTGAAATAGCCTTCACAGGTCATTCTGTAAATTTACACAAGCTGTAGTGGAGACAAATGTTAAGGTTATAACAATGCCAAAAATTTAACTGTTACCATGACTATAATTAATCACATCTGTAACTACACAAACATAGAGCAATTTTTACGTATACGTATCCATCACTTCTTCATTCAACCACATCAAATGAGGTGCTGGTGTGGTAATTAACGATGAAGGCTGGTAATGTCGATACATTTCACAGTTTCAGAGAGCAACCTTTGTGTCCACTAAGCAATATTAAGGCTATTTCATAAATTTATGTATGTAACATTTCTTTACAAAAGTAATCCACTGCACAACAATAAGAAAATATATCTGTTTTGTGATGCATCACGTAAGGAATGGTTTAAAATTATTCACAGATAGGCTAGTACTTGAAATCATGTAGCAAGTTGGGGGTGTCTATATCAGCTCGTTCCTTCAGTTTTTTTTTTAATATAAAAGCCTT